CCATGTGGTCACCTCCGGGGCAGGCGGGAATTGAACTCATGCGGAAGTGGCTTTTTAGCCTCTCAGTGCAGTGCTTTAACCGGCTGCGCCACCAGGGAGGGCCAAGACTCCCATTTTTTAAACTCATCACACTGACAAGTGTTGAAGGGTTTATATACAGAGTATTAGGAAATTAGAAAGAGTATTAGGGGCAAGATGAGCCGCTTCCTACACTACTGGAGAGCAGTTTGTGATCACCTAGCAAAGTATGCAAAGCACATGCTATTTGACCTACATCTGGGCCAATGGTAGGTACCTCCTCTGGCAGAATTAACCAGAAATTAGAAATCAATTATGCTGGCTGTGAGAGCATAGAAAATGTGCACTTGTCTCTGTGTCCATTTCCTGGCACAGAGCTGCTGAGACCCTTGTCATTTCCTAAGTGACACAGTAGCAGGAGTATCTTTTGTTCTATTTCTCACCCAAGTTCCTGCTACAAAGCTCTCAAAATCCTTGCAATTTCCTGGGTGATGGGAGTGTTCTTTATTTTAATGAGGGGACACTGTTGGTGAGGGTCTCTTGGATGAGGGCTGAAGAAACCAAGCTGGAATTTTCAGTCCTTTCTAACCTCCTCACCCTTTCCGTGATAAGGGAGAAGGGCAAAGGGAGTCATGAGAAACTCAGATTTATAGCCGATTGGTCTCAAGCACAGGTGACAATCTGAACTTGCAGTTGGCATTGGAAGTGGGCTGAGTCTTGTGGGACCAAGTCCTTACCCTGTGGCGATGATGTTATCTCCAGAAAATTAGCATCAGAACTGAAGTCAAGTTTAGGTCACCCAGCATGTATTGCAGAAAATGGCTTGGTGTGAGTACCCCACACACCTGTGGTGACCAGAAGCTTGAGAACTGGAGTGTTCTGTGTGACAGTCAAGTAGAAAGCTACAGGAAGCCTGAGATCTCCCAATACTCTGGTACACTGACACGATGCAGTCCTACTGGCTTTACAGATAACTGTTTGCTGATCTAGAATTACAGTCTAATCCTGCCCTGAATACAGGAAGGTTACTAGGCATTATGCGCGTATGCATCAAATATGTAAAACAGTACTCAGACACAAAATGGAATTTCACTGAAACTTTAAGAATGATGCCTTCTCTGGGATTTCAAATGATCTTTACTTTATTTTTACAGCTGTACTGCTTAAATGTCATTTAAGAGGAACAGTCACTGTTATATAATCAGAAATAATAAGCCACAAAGATGACTCTGTTTAAAACATGGACTAGAGTATCCTTTTGCATGTTTTCCTTTATGGAGGATAAAGCTAGTGTAATTAGATGAAAGATGACCTGACAGAACTCTGTGACAACCAAACAGTTCTCTTTCTACCCATCTATCTCTGTTCAGAATTAATTCAAAATAACCTCTGTTGGGCCCTCCCTGGTGGTGCAACAGGTTAAAGCACAACAATAAGGAGCAATCTGAAGCCACTGCAGCACAAGTTCGATCCCCAGCCATGGAGGTAACCCACATGGCACAGCAGACCTCTTCTGACCTGCCTGCTGTATGTTTCAGCAGATTCCTGTTCTGCTCCCAATTCTGTCTCTGGTGAATCTTCTCACCACCAGCCCCCACACCTCTGGTCTGTACCCCAATTCTTGAATGCATAAATACATCAATCTTCAAATAAAGAAATAACAAAATAACCTCTGTTAAATAAAATTAAAATGACACACACTCTCTGTAGCATATACACCAGAAGACGGGAACTTAAACTCCTGAATAATGTACAACATTTTCTCAACGGAGTAATTAGCATGTTGCCAAGTTATTACTGAGTTGCATATCAAACTCTCTGAACTCCAGCAATTGTAGTCTCAAAAGAAAACAGACCAAATAATCATAAGAATTTGTACAGGGATTTTTTAAGGTGTCCTTAAACAGGCAGACTGGAAATGAAGGAATTTTTGTGAATGTGTGAAATTTCCTACGATAGCTGTTTGTTTTTAAGTCACCTTAAGGAAAAGTTGGTCTAAGATTACACTATTCCCTTAAATTTCAAAGACTTTATTTAAAACAGGTGTCTGCTACTGAGTACCTTATAATTTCATACTAAATCCCTTCCTTGGTCTTTAAACCAGCCCCTTTTGAGGACTGTATTTACCAAGTGGCAAACTCTCCAGGCCCCTGCCATCTTTCCATTCTCTAAGTCAATGGTAATGAGAAGATATTCTCTCCAAAAGTGGAATACTCTTTCAGCCTTACAAGTAGCAATCAATACTTATCAGAGGCAATCTCCCCCACACAAAGCACATTTAGAGATTTACTGTCAAAGGTAAAATGGAATCTCATAGGTTTTACCTGAGCTCACTGTCTAAGAAGTGCTCAAAAACTTACACATGAAGACAGAAAGACAGTATTCACTTATTACTACGTATGTGTATGTATGCACACAGACATACACACGGGCACACAAATCCATAAAATGCAGGTCGTTATAAAAATCGCTTTCCCCTACCATGAAATAACAGTATTATTTTGTAGAAAAATAGGAATCACAAACCTTTAGCTGTTCATCTACAACTCTAGTAACTTCTCCAGCCATTGATTCTAGGGTCTCTTGAATTGGGCTAGACAGCAAGCCACTGGCCCCGGCCCACGATGTACCACCAACATGGTATAAATTTGGTAATAACTGCAAGAAAAATGGAAATATCCTCTCCATAGTTAAACAAATATTTATATAAGCACCAACATCATTGTAAAGTGAGTAAAAAGTTAGAGGGGTATTGTTAGGAATCATCTACTCGCCATCTAAGTCCTTTGTACAGATTAATAAACTGGGGTTCACTTTTGCAATCAGAGGAAATGGTGTATGTGCTTTATGCCTTGACATCCTCATCTGAGCTATGACAATATTTGGCAAATTCCAAAGGTTCCTCCTACACACAACTTTTATGACCCTGTGATTATCAAAACAAAGCCTGGACCATGTTTTCTGAATCTGTCAGTCATTTCTCTACCAACCCACACTTGGGAGAACAAATTCTTATTTGCAAAAAGGTTTCTGTTAAAGTAGAGTTACACACCTTCTGCTTGAAAGTAGAATAAGTATGAATGTGTCCTCATTCATTTAAACTATACCACTCTTCTAGTTATTCAGGATCCAATTACACCTTCTGTAAATTACACTAACCCTCTACTGTGTTAATTTCTACATTTTGATTTTTGGTCTTGAGCCTGAGTACAGAAAGGAGGCAAAAATTTATTCAGTTCACTTTGCACTTGTTAAGTAAACACAGAGCTGTGTAAAAAGTAAAGTAAGTCGCAACTAGTTCTAAAACTGAATTTGAAAACAATTTTTAAAAATTATATAAGACTCATGTAACCTGAAGTGAAACTCACCGTTTTTGAGTTCTTAGCATCACGCATTAGCCTTTCTGCTGATTTTAAATCTTCTTGAACAGCTTCACCCGCACAATTTCGTAAGGAGTTGAGATGATCTTGTACTTTCACACATATTCTGTCAATCATCTAGTTCACACCAAGTCAGTGCAGTTGGTAATCAGAAAGAAAGAAACACACAAGGGATTGTTAAGGGGAAGGATGTCCTAAAGGAATTCTGCAGAGTCTTATGGGCTCCACCCCGTTAACAGAATGAGGATAAAGGAAGACAGAGTCTTTGAAAGCAACTTAACACAAATTATTAACTCTTTATAGGTGAAATCTTTAGCTACATTAACTCCAGGAAAACATTAAGCAATTTGGTCCTCTTCTCTGTCTTAAGAAAATGCAGGACATAGAACAAAAGTGAAGACTTTTTGATGATTCAGAACCTCATAGCTATTCAGGGTCATTTTGCTTGACAGTTAACTCTTCTTCATTAAATTTTATTTAGTCTTTTCCGTGGGTTAATCTGAGTACGAGTTACTAAAGAAACAAAATGAGACTATTGAGGTGACCACAAAATGATGTCTACAGCCAGGTCTCATATAATGAAAATAAAAAATCCCAGAGGTTATTATTTTTTAAATTAATCCAATTATATCAGGTAGCTCTTTTCTATGTAAGTTAAAAGTCACCAAAAAAGGGTTGAAGTTGTATTATAACACAGGTAATAATGAAATCTATAACATCTAGTTTCTGTTGCATTATGTTTCCTTTCTCAGGTTAACTGCATCTGAATCATCTTCAGTTGATTCATGGCTTTAAACAAAAAACCCAAAAGAGAAGTAGTAGCTCATGAATGTGAAACAAAAATATTACAGAAAGGTAGATGGTGCTCACTTATATTTATAGAGAGAAACATGAAGAAAGCTAAGAAGCCTAAAGTAAAAGAAAACCACTGTGTGGTTTACAAAATTTCTCCAATATTTTCATCAGAGCTGCAGACTATCTATGTCATATTCTTAGGAACCATTAATTGTTCAAATACTTGTCAAGAGTCCTAGCCCATCAGATTATTAATTTGGCAATGGTGACAATCTAGCAATTTTCTTTTTTTATTCAAATTTATAATTCATTTTGAATTATTTCATATGGCAATCTCAAGATGCCAAAGTCTGTCCTGCTTCTCCCACAAATTCCATAGTCATATAAACTCTACTGCATAGGCCAGAAGACGTAAGGTCTGAGTATGAAGCCTGCATCCACTTGCTTGGCTTTCCATCTCTCTCAACTTTCTCTGTTATAAAATCAGGTTTATATCACCTACCCCATTGTCATTTTTAGTGTCTTATGAAGACAATACAATAAAATGATACTACTCAAATCACCCACTCTTTATTATTATTTTTTGACATCATTGTTCATTTGTGTACAATATTTGATTTCTCTCCTCAGGGCTAGTCTCCATCAACTCCCAACACGGTAGCACCCTGTGAACCAGCACTAGAGTATCTTGCCCTCTTCCTTTCCCTGTCTTGACTCCTCTTCTCCCCCTCCCCTGCTGTGTGCCTCAGACTTAAAGTTTGCCTTCAAGGTATGTCGTTTTCTTAACCCTTTGTTAAGAAATAATATATCAGACCAATAAGTGAAACCATCCATTGTTTTTCTTCTCCCCTTGACTTATTTCATTGATCATAATCCCTTCCATGTTGCTGCAAATGGCATGAGTTTATCTTTTTGGATTTCTGAGTAGTATTCCATTGTGTACAAGACCACATCTTCCTGACGCATTCACCTGGTCTGGGGGTTATTCCCATATCTTGGCTATTGTAAATAGTGTGGCAATAATCATAAGGGTGCAGGTTTCCTTTTGATTTGGTATTTCAGTGCTCTCTGAGCACCCATCCTTTTGACAAAGGGTCAGTAATGCTAACAATGATGTACCTTAATAGCACATCCTCTGATTGTACAACATAATGAGGCCATATCAATGATGGATCTAGAGTGCCCCCCCCCCGGAAAAAGATGTTGCCTGAATAATATTCTATCTTAATCCCTCACCAGCTAAAAACCTAAGCTTGTAAGCAGGTGTCTATATTTATACAATGTCCTGTAGAGAACTAAATGTCTATTTTGAAAAATTCTCCTAACTGATATACTGATATAAATGCTAACTTTTTAAACTATTACATTGATCTGTATTTCCTAAAGTATGAAAGGTTATCAAAAATTCATCCCCTACTGAGAATAAATACCTAAATTTCAGGAGACACAATAAACCCCACAATATAGGGGCACTCATAGATAAGTGAGGTTATGAAAGACTAATCTGAGAAGGCACAGGATGTGACACTGTGAAGGTGATCACTTTCAATAATTCTGAGTGACCAAAAAAACTCCCAAGATGAGCACTAAAACAAACTGGCCAAAGAAGGAGAGTTTAAATGAACCCAAGCAAATGTTCTTTAGGTGGATGTTTTCTAGTCTCATCCAAAAGAAACAGACAATGGCAGTTTTCCAATTCGAAGATTCCAAAAGAAACTGACAATGGCATTTTTCCAATTTGAAGATTTCACAAGTCTCCAAGAGTCTTCCCTATATGCCCTTGCTGAGGGCTGCAGAACCCACCGGGGACATATTCAGGCACTTTCTGACTAAATGGTCAAAGATCCAGAAAAAGGAAGCTATTTCAGATAACAAGGAAGGACTACAGAGAGTGCAAATTGAAAATGTTTTCAAAGAGAAATCAAAGATTTTGACTATCAATCAATAATCCAAGTCCCTCAGGTACACAGATGTGGAAAAAAAGGTAATTGCTATCATGAAAGACTGTCATGGGGGAGGGGGTGCGGTCAGTAGGGGAATTATCCCAGCGAAGACTTTATGGTAGATGACTACACTCCGGTATTTTATCATGGCCTCCCTACTCTGTCCCAGTCCCTTGGTGTATCATTTTCTGAGGCAAGCCAGAGAAACTGACTGCTATAGTTAGAGAGACTTCATTTCTTTCTTTGAAGGCAATATCGTTGGACACAGTCTTCTATGAGTTCAAATCTGCCTTCAATGCCCTTCCTCTAAGTCATGTCTTCTGCTTCAGAACATCCCAAACAATTACAAACTCTCTTCCATAAGAGTCTTATACCTATGTGAACACACCTACCTCTTCACCTAATTCTTTTTCTTCAGATTTAGTAGACTCAGCTCCTGTCACCATTCCTACAGGGACAATCCATACATCTTCCACCACCCCAGCTTATTTCTCTGCATTCCTCTTTCATCTTGGATTCTCGTGAAATATGACTCTCTCAACACAGTGAATTTAACACAGAAGGAATGGACTGGCAAGCTAACAATGATGTCACCTTTCGTATACTCCTATTATAGTGGCATCATTCAAAGTGTCCTTTTAGCAACTAAATCACACCACTAACTCCTTTCACACCTACTGGTTTCTATTTGGGCTTTCTCCACATATTCTGGAACCCAAGTGCAGGATTTAAAACTGTTAGCAATAATGCTGTCTTTGGCTACTCTCAAAGTGCTATGATGACGTTCAGTTCCAGCAAAAAGCTTATTCATGGAAAATTTTATCTTCCTCTATGCTTATTTCTTTATTCAATTCAAGAAAAATATATGCAACACCTAGCACTGAATGAGATACAACCCTGAATAAGAAAGAATCCTTGTCATCCAAACAACTTAAAAACCTGTAAGTGGAGAAAAATACTTACAATATATAACACAAGACATAAAGCACTCCATAATATAATATCCACAAGGGAACACATTTTTATTTTGTTATTGCCAAAGTTCCATTTCCTACAGCATTGCATGCTATCGGGTAAACCCTTTTAAGTGTTTATTCAATAACTAAAGGATAGAAAATCCTAAAAAGGTTTTAGCCAAAGGAAGGACCATAGTTAGTTGAGGTGGAAAGTAGCATTTTAGCCTGGTCCTGAGAGAATGCTAACGATGGAGAAAAGAGAAAGAAATTTTTAGCAGAAGAACAAATGTGATTAGTGGCCCATCCAGACACTAGTTCCTGATCGGGAACAGAGCTCCTTTATGGTAGGAGAGTAGACTGGAAAGTTAAGTTAAGGGAAGACCCAGTGGAAGACCCAAGAGTTTAACAGTATCCACAGCAGGCAGTATCTGTTCCATCCAGTCCCACACTCACAAGGGTCTAAACATCCCTTACACATGCCATTCAAAGACAAGATTTCCCAGATAGACAGAGCAATATAGGCTATAGAAAGCAGAAGCAGGGAAACAGGAAAGCTTGCTCTCTTAGTACTTGGAAAGGAGGACGTAGTTAATAAACATTTGAGTACAGGCTGGCATCAGAAAAGCAAGAAAGGAATGGCTGCAGATGGCACTTCAAGGGTAAATGGAGAGGGCACCGTGACCATGAGGAAAGCAAATGAAAATACCCAAGACGATGCCAAAGGTTCTTACTCCATTCAAGGTGGTGTCACTCAAGACAAATGGCAAAATCAGGAGTTCTGGGAATGGGTTTGGTCTTAATGTCCCTGGTGCCAGAGAGGATTATCTGGGAGCAGATCTTAGAGTTAGTAGTTGCAAAGACAGGACTTTCTTGAAAGAAACAGGACTATAGGAAGATGAGAACGTTACATGGAACAAATTACACAGTCAAAGGAAAAAAGCACTAAGTACACAACTGAGAAAAATAACTGCATTTGGAACATGAAAGCAGAGTGCGATGTAGCCAGGAACCACAGACAGATACTCAGAATGGCACATGAGGGTCTTCAGAGAATGAGCTGGTCGATAATGGTAATGGTTGAGATGATAAAAGTAACAGCAGCAATTAACGTTAAAGTTCACAGGTGAGGAAGCAAGCGCTTTGCATGTATTATCTAATTTTCAGAAGAGTCAGTATCTCGTTTTACAGATGAAGAAATCAAGGTGTACAGAGGTTTTAAGGGTTCTATGTTCACAAAGAAAGGGAAAAGCAGAGCCCGTACTTAAATCTGGGGCATCTGACATGAGGGGCCAAGTTCCTAACAGTCAATTGCCTCCTTTCATCAAAAGATGGAGGAAAGGTCCTTGGGCATGGGGGTCAGAAGAGCTGTTGAGGGAAGAGGGCCACTGGACACACTGTGAACGGTTGTGAAGTGAGTGGGTAGCGAGAAGTCCCGAGTGCAAGCTTAAAGATCTGTGCAGGGAGGGAGAAGACGGGGCAGGACAGGGCAGAGAAAACCACATTGACTGTGGAGATGGGTCAAGGGTGCTGTGGTGGTGGGAGGACTCTGAGACCACACCTCACAGGAGAGCGCAAATACTGCCCAAAACTTAACTGTGATGTAAGAAAATAAATATAAAAGTTAAAAAGCTGTTAAATGTCTGAGAAAGAGAGGAATGTGCTGAGTAAATATCTCTTGGCAGTAACACTGTCCTTTCTTTTTTCTTTTTCAAAAAAAAATCCAAAGACTTCATAACAGAGATTAGCAAATTACATGTGGCTCTGGGTCTATTTGTAAACTTTCATTGAAACAGCCACCTCATTCATGCAGGGATCGTCTTAAGGGAGGAGTGCTTCCTGACGCCGTTCAGTGGTATAGAAACTGCAACACGGGAGGGCCCTCTCTGGTGGCATAACAAGTTAAAGCCCAGCACTCCGAAGCTTATCTGCAGCCATTTCAGCTTGAGTTCGATCCCCGGCCCCAGAGGTGAGCCACATGGCACAGCAGACATCTCCTGTCCTGCCTGCTGCTTCCTTCAGCAGACTGTACTTCGTCAGTCTACCTGTTCTGCTCCCCACTCTGTCTGTTGAGTCCCTTCACACCACCTGTACCCCAGGTCTGTATGCATAAATAAATAAATCTTTAAAAAATAAAAAAAGAAACCACATTGTGGGTTGCAAAGCCTAAAAATTTGCTATTTGAAATTTTTGTATTTATTTAAGATTTATTTATTTATGCATATAGAACTGGGGTATAGGCCGAGGTGCAGGGGCAGCAAGAGGATTCCTCAGAGACAGAGGGGGGAGCAGAACAGGCAGATCAATGAAGCAAACTGCTGAGGGGAGCAGTGGGTGAGTCAGGAGAGGTCTGCTGCACCGTGTGGGTGACCTCTAGGGCCGGGATTGAACTCACACTGAAGCAGCTGATGTTAGCTTTCAGTACTGCACCTTAACCTGTTATGCCACCAGGAAGGGCCGGCTCTTTGAATTTTTACAAAAAAAAAAAGTTTGCTAATGCCTGATCGAGAAGGCTTATGAGACAGAAGAGCAGAGATGTAATCACAAGTAATACTATGGTCTTTTCTAATCAAAGCAAAAGAACAGATGAAAATCAACATAATCAACTAGGAGACTGTGATGTTCCATTAAAACATGTTTTAATTCCTTCAGTGTCACCTGCACGAGGCAAGGACATTAATCTCAGAGGATCCATACTTCTGGTATTTGGGTTTCTAGAAACTTCAATAAGAAGGAGATGAATCTCCAAAGTGACTGAAACAATTAAAGTCTGAAAACCGCTAATCATAATGTCCCAAGAAATCCCCAGAGTGAAAAGGTGGCAATATACCTACTGCGTAATGACTCAAATAATTCAAAATGATGCCACCTATGCAGAATTAAACATCCCCACTCGCCCCCTGTGTAAAATTTCCTCTCACTTGAGAAGATGAAACTTACTTTTAAGAGTTAGCAGTAAAGGTTGCTGCAGTAATTTTTTGGATGGGCATAATCCCCTGTGAGTGAGGGGAAAAGTTGGAAAGATAATATAGTAAGAAAAGCCTGCATTATGGTCCCTCATAAAGAAACTCAAGACAAAGATTCAATCAGTCTCATTGCTTTTAATGTAAAACACCAAATCCAGTTAACAACAGTACCATGAAGTACTAAGCCAACATTAGGCCCTTGCAAAGGAAAAAAAAAGACTTGGATAGTCAAATCAATGATTTCTTTCTCAAAACTCCCTGCAACTTCACTAAGAGTCATATTTTTTTTCTTTTACTCAACACGCATCACTTTATCTTATATAAAGCATACATGCTTGCTGTAAAGCATTCAAACAACATCATGAAGTTGTAAGAAAATATAATACCTTATTGTACCACCTAAAACCACCAGTATTTTGATGAACACCCTTTAACAAATCTCTGTATGGCCATTCACATAGTTCTACCTACTTGGAATATTATACACAATACTTTTACTATGTGTATTTTTCTTTCATTCTCTCTTGAGAAAATAGTAAAATTCGAAATTAAAATGCTCTCTGTACCAGGTCAAAAATGATGCCAACAATACACGATGGTCTGAAATGAGAAAACTTTGTTTGAATTGAGATAACATTGGTCCATTATAGGTAACCCAGAGACACAGACCCTGCCCCCCACGCTTCCACACCATACCCACCACTGGACAACCAAAGTCCTCCAGCGGAGTCTTGGGGACCCCTTTACCCTGCTCCCTAACTCTCCCTTCCCTCTCCTGAACAGTAACCTTAATTTCACAGTCTGATTTCTAGTGTTTGTTACTGGATTAGTTTCACTGGTTTCTTTATATTTCACTTCTCAGTGAAACCATGCAATGTTTCTTTCTTCTTCTGATTTAGTTCTTTGAGCATCAAATGAGTAAATTTCCTACCCGTCAGTCCCTCTCAACATCCTTGTTCTTTCTTTACTCTGCTATTGGTTTTCCCTATATCTATTGATCTTTGATGTCGACTGTTATATTTGGAGCGAAATATTACACAATTCTTTAATTATTAAATTTTTGTTTCTTTCTAATGTTGGGTAGAAAGAGGAGGAATGAAAGGAAGAAAAGTACTATAGTTTCTCTTTAGTACTTTAAGCACTGATTATTCTCAATTGCTCAGAATCTAGGAACTTGTTTTCTATTCACAGAAATAATAGAATTGATGAGAAATGAACAAATCTCTCCATTGCAACAAATTTGGTTGTCCTCCAATTTTATCATCTGTAATTGCAGGTGTAATTTGTGTATAAATCTAAAATACACCTTGCTGACAATCATAAGAGGCACAAAATCATCAAAAATTAAAAGTGCATTCCAGGTCTCAACATCATAAAATAAATCAATAAAATAATTAAAATGCATAGTCAGCATTAGCATTAACCTACATACTTGTCTCCAAAATTCAACTTATTTTTGGCAATCAGGTCTTACTGTCCTGTTGAGGAGTCAAACTAGAGAAGTCTTTATCTTAGCTATTGTAAATAATGCTTCAATAAACATAGAAGTGCAGATTTCCTTTCAAATTAGTATTTTTGTGTTTTTTGGGTAGATTCCTAGGAGTGGAATTGAAACAATCCAAATAAATAACTCAAAACAGATGAATGGATCAAGAAGACGAGGAATACATATACACCGTGGAATATTACTCAGCAATCAAAAAGATAAACTCATGCCACCAGCAGCAATATGGATGGAACTGGAAGAAATTGTGCTAAGAGAAATAAGACAAGAACAAACAGCAAATGGTTTCACTTGTATGTGAAATAGAGAGAAAACAGAACAAAGAGTCAGGAAAAAGACAACTTGCAAGGTGACCATGGATCTAAGGCAGACAGAGGGGTCACAACAAAGAAGAGAAGAACACAAGGGACTTTGGGAGGACTTTGGTGATGGATCACAGGTGCTATGGTGGTGAGAGAATCACAGGGACTACACCTGAGGGAAGACGTCAAACACTGTCCACAAGTGAACAACAATGTAAGAAAATAAACAATTTTACAAAAGACTAAAACAAACTAGAGAAGTTCTTTATTCTATGCTCTTAGAGTGTCATTTCAGAAGGAGCAGAAGGAGGAGACACTGAAGACAGCACCCTTACCTGCTGCGTCGTGCTCGTGACAATGCCTTGCTGTAACCGGTAGGCCTGCTCTTGAAGATATTTTCTAGTCTCGTGATTCCGGAGCAGGTAATTCTCTATCTGGAAATTAAGCACATGGATCTCTCAAGCACGTTTGACTGGACAGAGAGTAACAGTCTAAGAGAAACAGCCAGTTGCTGAAGTTCAAACCAAGCACTAATTTCCACATCCTGTGAGGCTCCCCGACAAGACAGAAGCACTGTCACTGTCACGCATAATAAGTTTTGCAGTTACAGTTTAACGTGAGGGTAACTGGAGAAATTCTTCTGTACCTTTAGTTGACAGAGATAGCAAGTGTTTAATTGCCTGCAGGGTTAGAGAGCCCATTCAGGGACTTTTCATCACTTTCCTGCACACAAGCTTCATCATTCTCTCATGAATTTTTAACTACCCAACAGTTCAAAAGTTGAATAAATATCTCCAAGGTGTACGGATAACACTCTCGAAAACTTTTTGCCTCACCTCAGTGGTAAGATCCACTAACATTTACAAAATTCTTGATGGAAAGGGAGAAAAAAAGGTGAAAATTTTGAATGTCTAGGCTGGTACAACTCAAAGACAACTCTAGGTTTCATTCAACCACCAAGTTTTTAAATTTTCTCAAAAATAGGACAAATCTTAACAAAATTACAGAAAGAAGAAAATGGATTTCTACAGAATTGCTCAGCTCTATTTTATCCATTGATAATCTCCTATGAAATATTCAAATGTACAAAAGGTACCTAGATTGAAATAAAGCATGGAAGAACAATATATAATGGATAATACTGAATGCAAGATTAACAGCTGGGGATGATGGACACCTACATAGGTTTAAAGAATAATTTCAGACGGACAGTGATAGCATCTGGTTGGGATTTTTTTCCCCAGTTGTTTTTCATTGTTTTTAATAACAGCACTTACCCATTGGCTTTTAATTTGCCACAATAGTTCCCTGGTTAAGAACTTATAATAACTGTGAGGCTCTCGGTATTACTACATCTTCATTTTAATTTTTCATATGCTGAAATGACTACTACTTAATACCAATTAGGAACAATTAAACTACAGTCTATAATTACTATCATCCCTGAAAATTGTAGAGCAGAACAAAAATGTACTTTTCAACTACACACAAATGAAGAAATTATAAAAATGAAAAGATCCCTGAAATGGAACATCATAAAGTGACACCTTAATACCAAGACATTATAATATAGTAATTTTCTTTAGCTGCTTCCGAAAAAGTCATCTCTTTCCAAGGTGACATTACCATCAATGTGAGAGGCTTCTGCTAAGAAGATTCTTGACTGAAATGTGGCAGGCTCATATCACCACCCAGCTTTGGATGCTTTCGATTTTGTTCTAGTACTGGGATCTCGTCACAGAGAGGGCCAGTTTGCTCAGCTCACTGCCAGGTGGCTCCCCAAGGCTGGTCCACTCTCCCACACCTTCCCTAAATGCACCTATGATGCTTCACCCACAGAGACAGCAGGGGAATAGTTTAAGGAAAAAAAAAAAAATCCGTGGCTCTCATTGGTGGCACAGCAGGTTATAGCACAGCACTGAAAGCTGGCTGCAGACACTTCAGTCCAAGTTCACCCCAGCACTGGAGGTGATGCACACGGTGTGCCAGACCTCTCCTGTCTCCAATTTTGCCGGCTGCTCCCCTCAGCAGTGTACTTCGTCGATCTGCCTGTTCTGCTCCCCACTCTGTCTCTGGTGAATCCTCTCACTACCCCTGTACCTCTGGCCTGTACCCCAGTTCTGTATGCATAAATAAGCAAATCTTAAAAAAACATTTCTAAAAGTCAGTAGAAAGGGGAGGAAGAATAACAATGTTTGTCATTCTTGTCAATCAAAAAGACTTCACACCCAAAGTCTTGGATAAACAGGGAAAACCTGTCTTCCTCACAGCATTCCAGATCAAGGACAGGGACCCCAGTTTCCAGGGGCTAAAGACAAAGGCCTGACTCAAGTCATAAAGGGAAAGGAAGGGCCCAAGTTTGCCAGCACCACTGGACAGCAGAGGGCAATCTGGGGGCAGTCCAGGGCCAGCCGCCATGTCCAGTCTCACTGTTGGAAACAGCATCTTCCCGAGAGGCAGAACGCTATGATTTTAATAAGGGAATCTTTTAAAGACAATTAAGGAAGAGTGATCAGAGAATCACAGTACTATTCTTCAGTGGGGCAAAATTAAGGAGTTAGTATTTCCTCCAGAGGATAGAGCTCTGCTAAAGTGATAGAATTCTATTAAAATCATGCAACCATGCAACAGAGAATGCATGCTATGGGGGGGGGGGGATGAATGTGAACGTTAAAGTCATTTTTTTTTCATCAAAAATCCACCAATTCGTAATTAACTATTTGCATTTTCCATTAGTCTCTACATGTTTGATCTCTTTTTAGTCCTCTGATCTATCAAAAAAGTGACATAGTTAGACTAATAGCTATAATGTCTGCAACTATTTTACTTTCCTATTTTCTCCAGTTTTAACTATATATGTATATGTATATATACAATTGCACTTTCACTCCTTTCTTAACATACCAATTACACTTCTTAAAAAATTTTGCCTGTTGCTCTAATGTTTATATTCTACATTTATAGCAAATCCAAGTCTACCTTCAAATAACTCTATTCTATCACTAGCAGCCCAGAATGCTGCCAATTTCATCTATTGCACCACTGCTGGCTTAGAAAGGTATTTCTCCATTACTTTTGAAGGAAAACAATGAGATTAAGAATTTTAGGTTGCTGGTGCTCATCTTTCAACAATTTGATAATTCACTGCCATTTTTGCATGATTTCCAGTCCAAAGCCTCATGCAATTCTTAGCCTTTTTTCTCAATGTTATTTTTTTCTTTTGATTTTTTCACACTTTCCTCTTCATTAATTCTGCAGTTTAGATACATTATGCCTATTTGTAGATATTTATCCTTTGTGGTTTTCTCTGAGATTCTTGAATCTGTGACTTGATGTGTATCATTAAGATGGAGAATTTCTCAACCATTATTATTTCAGGTAAGTGTTCTTTTTCCTTCATCTCTTTCTAGTATTCTCATTATATGAATGCTCAGTCTTTTGTAATTGCCCTGTAATTCTAGAATATTCTGTTGTTTTCCCTTCTTTCTGACTTTGCATTTAAATTTGAGAAATTTCTACTGATATACTTTCAAGCACAATGATTCTTTCTTCAACAATGTCAGTTATGATGAGCTCATTGAAAACATTTTTTTTCCAGTCTATTCCAGTGGTTTTCCAAACTCTGGCATTTCACTTTAATGTTGTCATAAGAGTTTTCATCTCTCTGCTATCTGTTCTTACACAGCATATGCCCTTTCCATTGGCACCATTAATATATTAACAATAGTATTTTAAATTTCTTGTCTGATAATTCCAAAATCTGTTACAAGTCTGATGTTTGCTTTGTCTTCTTTTACTTGCCTTCTTGCAGATCTTGTAATTTTTTTTTTTCCATTTTGGTTGAAAGTAGGATGTAAAGTATCTGATAACAGCAATTGAGGTAATCAGGCTTTTAGGGTGAGGTTTTATATTAACCCAACCAATAAATGATTTTGTTTAATGTTCGCAATAGTTCTATAAGCTAGAGGCTTTAGTTTTTTTTTTCTAGTGTTCTTGTTTCTTTTTGAGTGTTTGTGTTTCCCTGGTTGATCTGGGGTTTCCCTATAAACTCCTTAAATAGATCACCTCACAAGTTTTGTTCAATTGTAATCCACTGTACTGTACTTGATGATAAGGTATGAGCGACATTCTGCCATCTTATTAAATCTAAAGATTTAAAAGAGGATCTGCGTCTTTGGGCTTTGACCATCAGAAACAGGTCTTGGTATTTTTCTTCCTCATTCATTTGAATCAGGAAGGCTAAACAGAGAGAGGGTGACCTAACTGTCTTCCTCTAGGTCACTTAAGACCTTGGCAGAAGAGTTTCCCTTCAGAACAGGCCTTTGAAATATATCACAGCATTCTCTCAAGAATGCTGTGATATATTTCAAAATGGTTACTTTTTCCATGAAAAGGAGGAAAAGGCATGAAAGAGAAGATTTTTTTCTTATCTTCACTGTGATAGTTTGGAGTAAGAGCCATCAAAGCACATGGGTCTCCCTAAGACTGGATCCCAAAGAGGTCCTATTCATGTACATACCAAGTCTCCAGCAATTTATCAATTACCGCTTAAAAAAATTGGCTCCACCAGCCTCTGACGATGGCTTTGATTCACAACTGATTCTCTATATTCTCATCTCTCCTGTTTCCAAGGGGACAGTGTGCCTTGCAACCTCAACCCTCTGATGAATCTCAAAAAGTTATTGATCTTCTGTTTAAATAGGTTTTTTAAAAAGTTTTTATTTATTTTTGTATAGACAAACTTGGGTGTAAGCCACAGGTGTGGGTAATGAGAGGATTCACCAGAAAACAAAGTACCGAGCAGAACAGGCAGAACTACTGAAATACACAGTTGAGTAGAGAAGTTGGCGATAGACAGGAGAGTTCTGCTGTGCCATGTGGGATTTCCCCGTCTGGGGATCGAACCCAGGCAGTGACTGAGACGTAACCCCTGCACCACCAGAGAAGCCCTTCAGTTTTTTCCTTCTCTGAAGATGGAGTGAAGACTTTCAAGTTCTTTACACATCAAATCTGAAACCAGAAACCTGCTTATTACAGTATTTCTTTTGATAAGTTAACTAGCAGCCTTTTGGAAGTATAATGATGTCAAATATTTGTATGCTGCTTTATAGTCTACAAATTATTTTTCACATAGGCTATCTCATCTGGTCTCATGGCTACTTCTGGCAAATTACTAAGACTCCTTGAAGTTAAGTTTTCTTACAGGAATTTTTCTTAGCTGTAACAGGAGATATAATAAAGCCTTTCTCATGGGTTCACTGTATGGACTATATGCCTTTACCTCTGTAAAACACTTAAAACAGTGCCCGGCAAGAACTATATGCTACGTTACATGTAAGTTACTGTCTAGTTTCACTTTTCATACTTACAGGTGAAGAAAGCATAGTTCAGAAAAATTATACAATTTATTAAAGTACAAAGCTTAGAAGAGCTTATGGGATGTTCCGATGTTCAGAATCCAAAGGTTGAATATTTTCTTTTGCCACACCATAGCTTTCCCTCCCTGCACCTCCAATCCTCATTTCTTCTTATCTAAAAATGCCTAAGGAGTATTTAGGTATGCATGCAGGGTACTGTGGTAGCTGCTGAGAATTAAAAAAGATGAAAAAGGCATAAATCCCACTTTCATGAATCTTATAATCCACTAGGTGAAAAAATTACGAGGCAGGTAACTTACAACAATGTCCCAAGGCTAATGACAGAGAGAAGCACAAGGAATTCTGAGATGACCACAACTAGGGAAGAAAACTGTGAAGTCTTCCTGGATGAGCTGACACTTGACTTCAATCTTGATAGACATGCACTGTCCTGGTGAAAGCACTAGTATCATCTAGATCAGGGCAGTGACTCTCCAATTTGACAGTGACCAGACTGCTCACAGAAAAACAGAGTGCTGAGATGACCCCAACTTCTGAGACACAAGAATTTGCATGTCTAACAAGTACCCTGTGGTGGAGAAAAACAAAGAATAATGGCTGCCAAGAAATGAAGCTGGAAGGAATCAAGAGGCAGATTGAGGACATAATTCCAGGTTTAAGAGAGCAGGCTTTATCCTAAAAGTCATTGGAAAGGGAGACATGAATAGTTTTAGTCAGTTCAAATGCACTATGAAGTAGGATGACTACATTTGACTCCAATGTGGAAAAGAGACAAAAGGAGGCAAATGTGGTCATATCATGGGCTGTGATGATGATGCATGGATGAAGATGTGTCACAGCAAGCAGCAGAAGGAAACAAAGTGGAAGAGATTGGTGTTACACAGGTTATGTTAGACATAAACAAGGTAGCTGATTATACAGGGAAGATGTAAGGAAGGAATACTGGGATACTGGGTGGAGAGGAGAGGAGAGATCTTATTCTCTAAAGAGGAGATCAAGGCAGGAGGAAAAATGTCAAAGATTCTTCCAATAACAGCAGAGTAATGGTGGAACAGGCTCCTTTGAATGGGAAATAGCTGAGCTTGAGCATATCTAAAAATGGAGTGAAAGGTAAGTATAACCATTGAAAGAGGAGGAGGAAGGTGCAGGAAAGCAAGGAAGGCACTCACAGGGCAAGTTCCAGCAGAGATCAGAGGAGATGGGGTCAAAGTCACCAATGGCTACCTGGACTGTGAAGCCAAAGCCATTGACTGTTGGGTTGCCACAAAGGAGCTGGGAGTGGTGTGGATTTGGATTCATTTATAGACAAAGAGGGTGGTGATTTATTGATGAGGAGAAGAGGGAAGCTTGCTTCTGTTGAGGTTGAAGGGCATCAAGGCTGTACAATTTGACCCCCAGTGCCACACGCTATCCAAAGGAAGAACTGGAAATTATCTGTGCTTAATTCGGGCATAATGGTGCTGTAAGAATGTTACTTTCTTCACTCAAATTTAATGACCAGCTTCAGTCTCCCTTATTTTATTCCTCCTCCAGTCGTGCATCATGCCAGTTATCGTGATCATAAACATTCAAGCTAAAGTGAAAAAAGCTCTGTACGGTACAATGTACTATTCATATGTTCAGAATTGTTATTAACACAATTCCAATTCCAATTGAATTTATTATAATCAGGCTACTGATGCTTCAATACCTTTTGCAGAGCCTCTTCTGTTTTTTCTGGGTTTGTTTTCAGGGCTTGAGAAGCATCATACATAGGAATCGGCATAAACCTCAAAGTGTAGTTTCTAGAAAAAGGAGAAAATAACATATTTACTTAAAAATAATTTCCTGCAACCTTAATTTAGCACTCTCTTTAACATCCAAAAAGATAGTTGCCAGAATATCTTAGAAAATTCTAGACTATCAGACCACCCTGGGCCTCAAGATTACAAACCTGTTTACTTTAGAACCTGTTCCACAGGTGACTTCAGCCATCCATTTGGTCAAACAAAGCCGACAAAGCTTTAGGGAATTAGGTTAAGTGGTTTTGCTCTCCAGTTTCATGAAATATACAATTTTTAAAATGGCACGCAAAGGTGGACTAAAGCTAGGAAAAAACTCAGGCATCATCAGGCTACCTGGTTTTATTTACCAGTATATCCAAATATACCTGGGTCACCACGCAGATGATGGATGAATCATAGTCAGCCCCAACCTCTTAAGAGGAAAACCAAAAATCGAAATGTACATTTGTTTTCAAAGTAAGGACAATGGTATCCACAGAAACAGCCCATTCAGGCTCTGGGCTTTCATTTACTGACTTAGAGCCTGGATGCAGTCTGTCTACATTCTCTACCACAAATTAAGCAGCCAGGTTTCCCAGGTTTGAGGAGGCTACCGAGGTGAGCACAAGCAGAAGCAATCGATAAGCCTCACGCTGGGGCAAACACCTTCCTGTTCAAGGTATTCCTCCCACCAGCTAAGTACTCTGGGTTCCTTTAAACAAACAAGTCTGAGACAAGGGATTAGCTTCAGAAAAACTGCTGGGCTGGGCTCCCTGCGGGCTCACCACCTTGACCTCTGTGGGCCTTTACAGTTTATATTCAACATCAGTCCCCAGGCTCTAGACACCAGAAGAAACAACTGTGGAGAACTGTGTTATACTACCTCACTGCTGTTGGCCGGCTGATGAGATGCATATGAGTCATTCCTTTGTCACAAAGCACCCAGAACTCTGAAACTGCTCCTTCCATCTTTGAACCTGACCTTGAAGCAAAACTGCTAGAAGCTTACATGACTGTAAACACCTGCTTCCCTACTACAAACGTAAGAACCAGCATCCTTTCTACATCCCGCCCAAATGCCATCTATCCACTTCTGGAATAAGATCCCCCAGGAAGAATGATTTTTGAGGTGCTGGAACCTCACACTCAGAAGCTTTCTGTCCACACAAATGCATCATTTGCAATGCCATGCTTACAGTTACTTGCGTGACTTCTCCGGAAAGAGCAACTTAACACTAAGTCATCAAAGTACGAATAATGAAGAAATGATAAAGACAATAAATATTCATCTTAGTACCAGTAATGACCTGGATGGACATTACCTAATGGAGAAAATCTCCTTCCTCCGACCCAACATATAGAGAGGCTTAATGTAAAATAACCAGCTATGAAACTTCAGGCTGTTATTTCTGTAGTTCCATTCTTACCGTAGGCTTGTTTAGTCAGTCAACAGAAACAAAGAGATGACACGTCTGGATGGAGGATAGCAGATGTAACAGACTGTCCTTTTGGGGCACCCTACTATCAGCCTGGAGGTGGGGAGTGTGGGGTGTGCATGCTCTTGGCTTCTCACACAGACCAGTCAGTGCTTGGCATCTGCAACCTTGTCAGGGCAAGATGCTGTCAACTGCTTGTCAATCAGTGTCTCTATTCAGTGTTAGGGTGCACTGGGAGTAGCTACAGGTGTTTCTGCAGTCAGCAAAGGCTCCAGGGGAGGAGACTTTGGTGACTAGATGGCATGAGGCCTTTGACCCATGGTGAGCGATGGCCTGTGACAGTGGCAACGGTGACTTTTGGTTAAAGTAGAACCATGGGGTTTATGATGGGACGGCACTTGCAGATCAGTTACTTGAACTAGCTCACTTTTTTATTGTAGATTTATTTATGCATACAAGAACTGAGGTACAGGCCAGAGGTGGGGGGTGGTGAGAGGATTCACCAGAGACAGAAAGGGGAGCAGAATAGGCAGATCAACCAAAATACTCTGGTGAGAGGAGCAGCAGGTGAAACAGGAGAGGTCTGCTGTGCCATGTGGGTCAGCGCCCTGGTGGGAGATTGATCTCACACTCCAATGGCTGCAGAGAGCCCCACAGTGCTAACTCTAACCCACTGCACCACCCGAGAGTGACTGGTCACTTTCTTAGAAGACTAAAGAGGTGAAATGCTTCGTTCGACATCTTAGACTTTTTGGGATGTAGTGGAGGGCTCCTATATCCAGCTTTAGGGTTTCACTACAATACCTTATTGGCTACTTCAGAGGCTTCAGGCATGGACATTAATCAGGCAGGACACAAAATGAGGGCTCCCTCCCTCCCTGTTTTTAGGGGACAGATTTCTGTGCTGCTGGTCTCTCCAATATTTATCTGCTGTGATCATTTCTGTCTTTAGAATACAGTGAGGGTAAATATAGCTTATGAGGAATCATATAATTCATCACATAAATAAAGTTTATGAGGAATCATAAACTGTCAAAAAATTAACAAGGACATGAAACAATCGTCTTCACAAAAATTTTGTTTAAATGAAAAAAAAAAATCAGAAGAAACCAGATCACTGGTATTTTTTTCAGCCATCATTGGAGTAATACTTTTTTGGGAGAGTAAAATCATTAACAACTGCAGGCATCAGTCACTAACGTAATAAAAAAAAAGCCTTTTAGGAACCTGCAGCCCCATGTTTATTGCTGCTCTATTTACAATAGGGAAGACATGGAATCAACCCAAATGCCCAAAAGTAGAAGACTGGATTAAGAAGCTTGTGTATATTGGTATGTATACACAATGGAATATTACTCAGCAATCAAAAATAAATAAATAAATAAATAAATAAATAAATAAACTCATGACTTTTGCAGCAACATGGATGGAACTAGAAGGGATCATGCTTAGTGAAATAAGCCAGAGAGGAAAAGAAAAATTCTGGATGGTTTCATTCATAGCAGGATCATAAGGGATCAGGGGAAAGAAGTAATAGTAATAAAGTAAAAACACCAAACAACTATATTCCAGAGACATTTTATGGAGGTGAGAACAGGACAAAACTAGGGTGGGAAGAGCGCACAGGACTATGGTGAAGGCACATGGGTGAACTGGTGGTGGGAAGTCTGCAGGGATTACAACCAAGATGAAAAATGCACAAAATGATGTAAAAAAGAAAGAAAGAAAAAAGAAAAGAAGCCTTTTAGATCAATAAGACAAATTAGCTCTGGTTTCCCATTTAGAAAGTTTCATTTTCTGGATCTGTTTTCTTGCCCTGGGTTCAAAGTACTCATAGTGGGCCCCAAATGCAAGACCCATTGGAAATAGACTGTGAAGCCACAGGCAGCGAAGCTTGGTGCCCCTGGAGTGTCCCCTCAACCACGTGCTGTCTTTAATAGGCACACCTTGCAGACAGTGAGGTTTGGTTCCAGACCACTGCCATAAAGCCAGTAACACAATAAAGGACGTCACAGATTTTTTGGGTTTCCCAGTGCCTATAAAAGTTTTGTTTACTGTGCTTAATCATTAAGTGTACAATAGTAACAGGTCTAAAATAAAATAGGCGTGGCTTAATTAAAAAGTACTTTATTGCTATGATAGTATCATTATCATCTGAGTTGCTAGAAAAATGGCAGCCATAGACTTTTTTAGCACGAGATGACCACAGTCATCAATCTGTAAATGGCACAATAAAGTGCAGCACAATAAAATAACGAAAGCCTATCATCCTCAAGAAGGTGTTCTATCTTTGACAGGACAAGCTACTCAGGCCTATAGTTTACAAAAGAAGAAATTCACACCAGATGAAAGTCGAAGTCTTCCCAGACTCTGTGGCTAGTGAGCAACAAACAAGCTCAACTCCTGATTTCCTGACTCCAGTCTCTTGCAAATTCTTTACCCCACAGGTAACTGAGGCACCAAGGGTTCTTTTGAACTTTTCCAAAAACAACTGCTGATTAAAACTTACTTTTCCAGAGCAACAGCGATGTCCTGGAAGCCTTGCGCAGTAATGTTGTTCTTGTCCCATATGACAGTCCTGTGTGAAAACCAGATCACATCCGTGAGCAGACACTGAGGACTACAGGGAGGACTGCAGACAGATGTCTCTGTTTACTACCATGACCTGAAGTGACCAAGGAATAATGTTCATCTTTGTTTCAAAGCAAGGATCAATATTTCCCCCAGTGTTATATTCTTAACACATCCACTGCTCAAATAGTGAAGTTTATTCGTACTAAGCGATGGCATACATAATATTTGCCATTAGTCAGCTCATGTTTTCCTAGTCAGGGAATTCAAAAACCTGATTTCTGTGATATTCTAACTGTGGTGTAATCTTCCTGTCTGAAGCTGACATTTATGCAAGATGCTTAGCGTCCTGTGTCCACCAGAAAGAACTGCAGGTACTGAGAGTTTTTACATTCTCAGTAACAACTGGGTGTCCTGTCAAGGATTTTTATTTTTTCACAAAAATCTGACACAGTATGTCAGCAATTCAAGGCACTTTGTTCTCCCTGCTGGCAAACCTTCAGTTATTCTAAATAGGAGGTGGTTTGCTTTTTGAACACAAAATCTATTTTAGAAAGGACATATTATTTTACCTTCAGAATGTGAATACATCAGAAGTATCTTAGGATTTGTCAATTCACCTGACACTTGAAAAGTTTTTATTTGTCTGCAAGATCCTCGCAGACAACCTCGCCTTCTTTCCCTTCTGAATCTTAATGGCCTCTACGAACACAATAACCTTCAAAGAAACCGCTGTTGTTTTGGCATTTGCTTCAATTTTGACAGAAGGTTCACACTCTGTCTTAGGCTGGAGAGCAAGGGAAGCATCAAGAAAAGTCCTTGAGAAATAACGTGGATTTACTCTTCATTCACCAGATTGCTGGACTAGGCAGCAACCTGCATAATGGGTGAGGACCTGGTACCACAGAGCTAGTCCTTAAGGAAAGTGGGGGCCATATAGCGAGACATCTGGAAGGCCGGGACTGGGATGCATGACAAATTACAACGACTGAACAGAGTAGTGACACCAGCTTTTAAACCAGTGATCAATTGGTCTCTGTATCCCTTTACATAATTAGCAGGAATGGGAAGGGCAAGATAAGATGACAGGCTTCTAACAAAGTCCAGCCAAGTTCCTCTTGATTCTGCAGTATTCCCTGCTCTGCTCCTTTGGCTCTGACTACAAACCCCTTTCTACTTCTTCAGGCCTTTCTCCACAACATAGGTCAGCTGTCAACACAGACATTAAGGAGGAAATCATAACAGTTCCCAGTCAGACTTTACCTGAAAATGATCTTTGAGAATGGTCTGAAGGAATCACTAGGTCTAAGTGTGAGAACACTCAGTACTTTATACCTGAAGTTCATGCCTCTTCCTCACAGATGGCCTCATGGGAAACTCAGGCCCCACGAGGCACAGGTGCCTGTCCTGTGCAAGCTGTCCTCAGCATGAGGGCTAAATGCCTGACTCCGTACCTGAGCTTGGTGTTGATCTGTAAGGCCTTGGCCAACATCTTTGCTCCCATGTCTCCCATTCCATTTCCGCTGATGTCCACTTTGGTCAGGGAGGTGTTGCTTCCCAGTGCATTAATTATGATGGTGACTTCAGTCTTGAGCTTTGAGTCAGCCAGGGACAAGGACTGCAGAGGCTGTGGGGGAACAATGAGCAGCATCTCATGGTCTCATCAAGGAACTGTCACTCTAGGGACCGCTCTATAGAAGGATGAGAAGGAGAGGTACCCCCTCCACAGAGAATCGGATTTTTCAAATGTCTCACTAAAAGGCATTGATGAATAGGACTATAAGGTTCTGAAGTAAAATAAATGGGTTTTTGGCATCAAACATGGACAGAATGTTTTTTAACAGTGAATAGCAGCCACCTGTCTGCCAATGAAAGTCGTGAGGAAATAGCTAGACTTCAGCTCTTTTGAATGATGAACAAGATGAAATAAATAATATACCACACAAAAACGTATTAGCTTCAGTAAGGCTCCACTACCTCTTTGATCCCCTGTGTTACTATGTCAGGTGAAATGACATCTTAGGATAGTAATAGAGGACAAACACAAAATAAAAATGCAATCAAGATTAGTCATAGCTGACACTGATCAAACACTATACCGAACCACTATTTAAGCTCTTTAACATGTATTTATTTATTTAATCCTCCTAGGACCCAATACTGGGTAACCCAAAATTATTATGTTAGGTATTGTATCTCCAGTTTTCAAATAAGAAACAGAATGCTTCAGCATCTCAGTCAAGGTCACAGAGTTGCTGAACTGGAACAGGACTGTCTGGCTCCAGATTTTATACTCTTAACCTTGCACAAACTTGTCCCATCAGCTTATCCTAGAAGTTTTGACTGTCACTCTTAGCTTTATCTCACACCAATTAGAAAGAAGACACACCTACAACTTTAAGAAATAGATAAGTCAAATGTGTGTGACCTTTTATTATCATAGGATCCAAGCTAACTCAACCCAGAGACTGACAGTCATTCAGCCTTAGGGTAAGCATGGTTTGGCCCATATAGTATCTGATCAAAAAAAAGAAAGAACATCAGGTTCCTACTTATACCCAGATCGCTTTACTTGTTAATGTTGGCTTCCTAGCCGTGTGAACATTGACCCTGCTAGTCTTGATTCAAGCTGTAATTGAATTAAACAGCAGTGACCATTTCAGGACTTGGACCAGTGTGGCTTGAAAAGTCAGAATTCAGGCTGTCCTGGAGATGCTCTCCATTGGTCCAGCCAAGCTAGAAATTCTGTAAGCACTTTGGACATTATAGAAAGCTAGATACTGCAAGACACTTCCAGGGTCATCTAGGACCAGGCTCTGCTGTGCCAGTTGTAGTGCGACTTTCAAAATGTGCCTGAGTTGTCGTGTGACTCACGCTCAAAGCCTAGCATGTATCTGCACACATTCAGCTCTCAACCTTCCCATTCAAAGGAACACCTGTTCGGGAACATCTGTCAAACACCTGTAGGAAGCCGGGCAAGGGTGTTGTTGATTTATTATTAAGTAAAACCTCTTCAACTATGCACACAATTTGCTGCTTGAGAACACTGTGGGTGGGGCTTACCTACCACAGCCTGTCAAAATGGTTATTATCATTGAACCTGTTCCTGGAGGGTTAGTCAAGTATTTGTTTCCCATTTTATATAAATATAGCATGATAATCTCCACAAGTATGGCACTGATGGTTTCAAGCCTCAGGTATCCACTTGGTTATACCAAGTGCCTATACTTATCGTCCTTAGTGTCTAAATTTAACCATGTTTTCCAAATTTACTACACCCAAAGTAAAATCAAAGGGTAACATTATGTTAATTAGCATCAGAACTTTTCAGTTAAAAGACTTGGTAAATGCAAAGGCAATTAAAACTTCAGCCAAGAAGCCTATAGATGTTTGGACTCAGGAAGTTTTAGTGAGGTTGCTTCAATTTTCTTAAGATTCTACACTCAAGCAAATGGGGAACACTTAATACTTTAAATAAACACAAATGTAACATTGTTTTAATAAAAAGCAGTAATCACATCTCTCACCATTTCAATAATCTCTATTCCACTACTACAAAAATGATATATTACAGCTTCTTCCTAATACTGGAAAACTGCCAAGTCCCCAAGCTAGCAAGCACCAATGCCAGCACTATATTCTAGGTCTAATACACCCCAGTTAACACTTAAAAATAATAGGCAGAGTCATAATTGCGAACAGAAGAGTCTGAGTAGCATGCATATTTATAAGGTCATCCCTTCTTGATTTATTGCAGTTCCAAGTAACATTACTATATGAAATCTTCCTTTTCCTCCCATAGTTTGACATGCTTAACATGAGAATTCGCTGCCTTGCTACAGGCATTTCCACGAGAAACATATTGTGTTCTATTGGTTACAACAACAGAGGTTTGGATGTAAGACTTCAAAGCAGGATTCCCTGGAAACTGGGCACCTCCAAGGTACCACCCCATAACACAGGTACAGCAACCTGACAGCTCCCGTCTATTTCTTAACACAGCGCTGGAGGCCACAGGCACACAGGTCTTCCAACCAAACAAAATGTGAAAGGAGGAGAGCACTGTTCCATCTAGTCAAAGAATAAACTCTACAAACATAAGGACAATGTGTGAACAGGAGAGAGATTGCTGTATATATGCAAAAACCTTTAAAAGAGTAAAATGAAAAAATGAGCACCATTGTGCCATGTGATGGCTAGAATGTTTATAGTAGTCACAAGTCATCTTTGCACATTACTGATGCAGAAGTAGGAAAAGAACAGAAGGTAACTGTGTCTTGGAAAAGTCAGCGACTTTTGTAAACATAAAAAGCTTTACAGTGCACAGTATTACCCTGGAGCACGACTGTACCATGACAGAATTTGCATCAACATAGCAAACGTTACCCTCTGCAAGTATGATTTTAAGTGTGTTTTAAATATCAAGATTATCCTGAAGTGACAGTTTCAACATTTTAGAAACAGTTTGAAGACTCTGGTGTAATTACCAAAACATGAAATTTTGAAACATGAAACAAGTTTCACAAAATGCAAATTTTCCTAAAATGTATACTGTGAAACAAATATTTGGGGATGACTATTAAGTATGATTCTGTAATATTAACTCCCCCAATGTTTTCAAACTGGGCCAATACTGGGAAATCAGAAACTCAAATAAATCAGGGTGGTATAAAGTCAATTTTAGTATGTAAAACAAACAGCATAAATGCTGAAGCATGTAAATTACATTCTAATTACGCCCCTAATTGTAATAACCTCACATAAGAGCCACAGAGTATGAGGTTTATTAGAAAATGAAGACAAAGACAAGTGCTTGGAGTCATTAAATAATAATGAGTTTCACTTATAACTCATAGGTTGGAAATTCTATCCATACAGCAAAGAAGCAGAACGGAATCAGAGCCCAAGAGAGATGGACAAGAGGAAGCCAGACAGAGTTCCAATCCCCAACAGGGGAAGGAAGAGAGTGCACTAGACTATAGTGATGGCACACGGGTGATTTGGTGATGGGAAAGCCCACAGGGATTACAACTGAGATGGAAAAAGTCACCAAAAAATGATATAAAAATAAACCACTATATTATTAAAAAAAAAAAAGTTCCAGTCCCCATCTCCCATGGCCCTTAAGTTTTTTCAGCAAAGTTAGCTTTCAGTTAAAAATAGAATTTGCTATTATCCCACAATAATCCAAAAAGGAAAATGATACTTTTAAAAAATTTGGCCTATATCACGTAGTTATCTGTAACTCACTCTCCTTGTTAGAGTTTATTTCAAGGGCTGTCCGCTAATGTTATGACTTAGAAAAGTTGCTGTCACAAAACATGAATAATGTGACTTCATAGAATTGGCTACAGATTGACAGGGAATTTAGAAATAATGTGAATCTTCTAATGAGAATAGAAAATAGTGGTATTTTAGAAACCATAATAGCTGAGTTTGTAGGAAGACAGGCAAGGGAAAAAATCTTAGAGTGCATTAGTGAAACAAAAGGAGTGATATCCCAGGTCTAAGTTAAGGATATTAAATGGTGGAGAGCTTCCTACTGGCCCATAAAATATCTTGTTCTATTTTTCTAAAGCATGGTAAAGGACAGCTTCCAGCACTATTTGAATGAAATCTTGGTCTGAAACAACTAAAAGAGATAAAAGTATGAGAAGGATTACTGGAGTTCAAGAAGCAATTTAAGATAGAGGACAACCTTCTTAGTCTCTTGTAATTCTACATAATTACTAGATGAAATTCAAATTGGCAACGTGATATTTCTCAGCATGATATAAGGTCACAGAGTCAAGTAGATAGCAAAAATTCATGCTTTGCCGATTAGTGTGTTAGCGGAAGGCAGGAGATAGTAAGAAGTTTATTAACAGATGGGCTCAGGGCTTGATTTATACCTCTATTCAGCTGCTAGTGACATCTTGATTTAATTAGTAGAGCTGATCAGCGGAGAGAAAATTTTAAATACATTCTGTAATTGTACAAAATAGCTATTTTTAAAAATAACAATAACAGAAAATCTATACATACATAAAATTATCTGAAAATATATCAACATTAACTAGGAGAAATAAGTATTAAGCATATCCCCACACAGAAGATTGTAAGCAAGATCTTGAATACTCACTGATTCTTCATCTTGAATCATCTGTACTAAGTTGTCCAACACTGGTGTCAGATTTCTAAAAAGATTGTAAAGATGCACAATGGAATCAAATAAAAAGCTTTCAGGAAGCTAGTTATTTTCATCATTCATATAAAAAAATTCAAACTCTTACTTGGATTTCATGTTATTAAAGTTTTTGCCTAATGCCAGGTGTTGTATTGATCTGTTTTTACTGAGCCACACTATTAAGGTAGACAGGTCAGACTCTAAACCTGGAAAAAATCAGAGCAAGTGGAGAATCAAAACACACGTGAGTAAGTGAACTCTCAGCTGGAACCCAGTGAAGCAAAGGGACAATCGGGGGTGTGACTATCTTCCCGAGGAGCCCAGGATTCTACTCTTTTCTTTTCAAAGAATCTTTTTTGACCTCTCTCCATGTCCTATCATTTCACAGGCACAAATTCATTGTCTACAAAGACATATAAATCTCTTAAACAGTCAGCAGCTAAGCAGTCAGCAGGGACTGGGAACAGACAGTAGGAACCTGCATCTCTCCCCATTACTTTGGGAGAAAAGATTCCACGTACCACAGCAGCTAAGTGCGGCTGTCTATGCACATTTAGCAGATACATATGCACATGCTGTTAAATCCACAAATATGAAGTTAATGAAGCAAGCTTCCACATAAGAAACGAGAGCTCAATTTCATTATCACCAAGATATGCAAAGGGTCCACTCAGAGCATCATCAATGTACTGACCATATAAAAATTTAAATTGATTTCTTTTATTGCATAAACCTTGTACTTTTTGGCCATGGGATAAATGTAGAAAGACTTTGGTGGAGATTTGTCCCATAAAGAAACTCTACTGTTAAATTAAAAAGTCCTAAGTAGTCAAGAAGTGAAATCATTTTTTTACTTTGATGTGTTATCGAGATTGGGAGAGATGACTTTTTCCTTCACTAATTTGCTTTGAATAGGACTTCTCTCTCCTTTCTTTGCTGGCTTCTGACTTACCATTGTCAGAGATGTCTAGGCTGGTGATGTTGTGGATTTCTGCAATGCAGCCTTCTAATACTTGAGCACCTCCTGATCTCAGCTAGAGAAACACAAATCAAGCACAAAGTGAAATGTCTACCTACTGAGGGTGTAACCAAAGAATTAAAAATAAAGAGTAAGTTTTAAACCTAGTACCAAAGAAATGTAAACATGTATCCAATAAGCCACCATCCATGAAAAAGAGCCAAGCACTACTCATTGCTACTGTTTCCATACCACTTACAATGATCATCAGAAGAACAATCAGACACTAAAGAGAGAGGCCACCCAGGGTGACTACTGGCAAGACAGTGTCTTCCGCCCACAAGAATTTTCTTCATTGGTGATTTCCGATAATCTAATGAAACCCTTATAAATGAGAAATACTATCTATGTGATTATTTTAACCAGAGACAATAAAGACTGACTTCATGTGTCAAAAACTTTAATGTTCTCCAGACATGGTGCCATTCTTAGAAAGCAGAGTGAATTGTTGAAGGTGAGTACAGACTGAAATGTATAAACTCACTGAGTCAAAAAAGAAAAGTTCCAGATTAATTTAGAACATTTATCATGTTTACTTTACAACAAAACTAAGTCACATGCCTTATGACCTAGCTTGCTCCAAAGAGAAAAGCATAGAACACCCAATACTTTTTCATCTTTTCCATGAAACCAAAAGATTTCATAGAGGTATGAACATTTCCCCCCCACCCCCCAATCAGCAACAATTTAAAGTCCTATGGTATGTGTAAAGCATCATGCCAGATACACAGTTTACCAGGCTGTGGTCCTTTTGCTCAGTAAACTTACTAATTACTAAGAGAAATGCAACTGTCATTTACTGGGAGCCTATCACATATCAAGAAACAAAGCAGTTCTTTTTGGAAAATTAATATTCACATTAACATCTATAATAAAGTTACAATACACTATAGATAATACTTTCTACTTATTCAAGTTTTGAGGTGAAAAACTAAAGTCTTTTTTCACTATTTTAGTTGCAATAGCTATATGGTCCCCTGAACCCAAACTTACCAATTTCTCCAGTAGCTTGCACGTTAAGCAAAGTTTTGCATGGATCTTTTGGACTGCTCTCTATTCAGTATTTCTGTTTAATGTGCTCACACTCAGCCTCCTCTACTTTTTAAGGTGACAGTGGATGCCTGTGAGGTGTCTACAGACACCTGCTAACTCTGAATGGGAGTGTACCACACAGGGAGCCGGCTGTGTACACACTTCAGGGAAATCAGGGTCCAGTGGCTCCACAAAAGAAGGGCTTGTAACCCCCCTGGGGAGAGCTACTGGTGAGAGTGAACAGGCCCATTTCACCACATTTTTTGTTCTCTCAGGAGCTCTCAACTCTACAGAGGCCATCTGATCATGTCTTCTCTACACTATCCCCAGCTCTGGCCAAAGTGTGGTCTATAGACTCAGGCAGCCTGCAAAATTTGTTACTGGCCTTGATAAATGAAGCATAAAAATTGACTATGAAAAATTGTGAAGCCTTAGTAATAACACTTTTAGATCTGTTGCATCAGTACAACAGGCATCCCCAAGACTTCAGAACATTCTTTCCAAGGCGGGATGCTTTGGTCTATGGTATATTTCAAGTTAATAGCAATTGAAGCCTATTAGAATCCAGAGCAACGATTAGCATCATCCTAACTACTTAGGAGACTGGAAATTGGGGCTGTTATCCAGATTTAAGGTTATATCCAGGAAAACAACTCTTCTCTATGGTGGGAAAACAAGCATCTGGTTTTAGTCATGAGTCACCTCCTCATCATCTGAGTGGCCCCCTCTCTCTCTAATGCCCCAGGCCCTATCTCACTCCTTAATGCAGGAAATATGCCCTTGTCTCCTTGACTGAAAACATGATCCTCATCATCTATGTAGATTTACAGTAACCACATAATTACATTCATGCTTTTCTCCATGTTAATGTGTCTATGCTGCTTTGATTACTCAACCAGCCCAAGAAACACCTAACGGGGAAGGGGGGGAAATTCCCCTCCCACCTCTTGCATCTATTCATAAAAATTGAGGGCTTATATATTTTTACTTCTTTTAAGTCTTTCTAGTAATGCACTTTTACTGTGTTTTTGCAAAAGTGTTATTTTATGACAGATAGGAATTTTTTTAAAAAAAAATAGGTTCTTTACTCCAAAGTGGCATGGAAGAATGCCCCAGGCCAGAGGTTAATATTTGAAAAAGTGAATAGTGACATAGATGACATGAAAGATCAAAGGAAGAAATCATGTAGGCAAACACTTTAAGAAACATTTGATTTTCGGAGCATGAAGACAATGTGCTTTGGGAAAGATTAATATAAATACAATTTATATTAATCTCCACAATTTCTTTACTTGCTGTAGTGATTTCTCTATTGAGAGGTAAAATTTCTACAAGAAAATCTCTGCTTTCGATTGTAATACTAGAAAACTATTTCATTTACAAATATGGAAGCATGCTCCATTTTGTTATTTTATAAATACTCCCACTGATTATATTTATAGCACCTACTCATAAAACTAATCCTTCCCAATAGTTAAAAAAAAATCAAATATATCACTATATCCTAGTTTATTGATTCATATAGTACTTACACAATGGCCAAGCTAAGGAAAGCCAAAAGAGAAAAACAGAAACTGTTATCAGCAGAAGGTAGAACAAGAATAGAGAAGCTAAAGTCTAGCAATACACAATGTTAAAACAGCCAGAAAAAAAAAAACATTTCTAGCTGTATTTGCTCCCCAAACAAAAGCAAACAATTTAAATAAAAAAAAAAAACTGATCTTCAGTTACCAAAGACATTCAATTGGATTCACCAGGTATAAGATGCCTAAAATCAATCCCCCAAAGCTAAAGCTTCCCCCAAACAGTAAAAGCTTTTCCATTACTGTAAATGAAAATCCTTTTAAATGCATTTGCATAATTAGAGACTTGTGTCTGCATGTGTGCATGGAAAACTGGTTTTTAAATTGCCCTCATTTGGATGCCACATGCTAGCATTATTTAAAAGAAAGCAAGATCAAAGAAGAGTAAATGTGATTGAATCACTGAATACATTTTGAAATGTTAAAAGTAAAAATCACATTTCTTTCAGAAGTGTCCTCTCAATGAAGGAAACATCCTGAATGAGTAGTTCTATTTAACACTCAAATATCCATGGTGAGAACAAAAGTCAGAAAACTAAAATCTAGACAGAATTTTTAATAATGGACTTTTCTTCCTCAAGATCACTTACCATTAAAAAAAAGATTTACATGATTTAATGTAAAGAAACACCCCTAAATTATTACTTCTCTCCTATACAGTCCCATTTTACTTAAAAAAGGTTTATCCATGGAAATTTTCCCACATGAAACTGTAGTTGTGTATGTTTCTCCAAGGACCAAATAAAAAATAAAAAGTGTTTGATAACATTCAGTTCAATACCCATTCTGATAGGGTTTGATGTGTAAAGTTAATGTAGAACCAGAAACAGATACACATATATTTATCTGTAAGTATGGCTGTCTCTCTTTCTATGTATGTATATAGACTTTTAAGGCATATCTATATAGACATTCATATGTCCATATATATATGGAATGTGAATGTCTACATATATATGTATGTGTGTGTGTGTGTCCAAGGTGCAAATAACTGCATGTATGTTATCATGTCATTTATGCACCTGGAAGTGAAATTCCATACCTGTTTTGACAGGTCACATGTCAGGTAAGGAACAGAGCCAGACACACACAGCAAACCCACACTCGCCCATGAAAGCTGGTTGAGTGACTACCAAAATCACTCAGTTTCCTCAGTTTCAATTCACCTCCTGGATCACAATTTTTTCTACCTGGCTCTTTTTCTGTTCATCATCAAAGCACCTTGCAAACACACCTGGACAATGGGCAGGAACAGGCCCCTCAAACTGCTCTGTGAGGGGGGTCAGACCCTCAGCTGTGTTTAGCTTTTGCATCTTCTCTGAGTACCAGAGATTTCTCTCCTTCACTTGGAAGGAGATTAAGCTTGAGGAATTTAGTTTCAACATTTATCAAGTCCTCTCTAGAAGGAGGAAGTAATAAGAATTTTAAACACAGGCCAGCATACATAAATCCCTGTCTCCGTCAGGCAGAGAGATACATGGGGAGAATGTATACGAGTGCCAGCCCTCCACCACCATATAAAATCCTAACACCTCTTCTGGAACTGATCTCAAGGGCAAAGACACATACACATTTCTTTGAACATCTGCATGAAGGTTAAGTCCTTACCCTTCAGGAGGGAATTAGGACCAGCCAGAGAGGGTCATATTGTTTTATGTTGAAAATTAAGCATGACAAGCTGAGGAGACAAATACTTTTAGGAAGATTTAAAATAGCTTGAAGGCAAGCCTCCAAAAATGCTATGGTAAAGGGAGACTGTTTCATAAATCTGGGACATCCAGAAGCGAAAGAGAAGAGCGGGAATAGGAGGGGGAAAAAGGAGGGAAAATAGCACCACTATGGCCGAACTATCAAAAGGGGAGTGTGTGCTGGGGTGGAGCACCGGGGATGGCGGTCTAATAGAGGATGACTGGGGTTCTGGTGGCAGGAGTGGTGAAACCACATACATTTGTGGAGGTGTAAATTAATACCCCAAAGACAGGTAATGTGCTATACATCAACCTTATCTAAATAAATATAACTCAAAGAAAAGTCCCCACATAAAGGTGTTGAGAAAGGCAATATTGACCAATGTTAAAATTCCTGACATTCAAAACTCGCCTCCTCTGTAGGCATCCTCCTTCTCCTCAGATAAGCATGCTCGTACACGAGGCTGAGCAATGTGCCAAATGTTCTCCCAGAAGAGGATTATAAACCCCTTTCCACAGGTGAGAACAAAGGCTGGAAGATGGGAAGTCACTTGACAAGCCCAGTGACCGAGCCAGGTTTCAAAGGGGGTCCTCTGGATTCCCCATGCCTCCCAAGACTGAGACATTTTCCCACAGAAGAGAAATTACTCTGCTTGGTACTCAAAGACCAAGGAAAAGAAAGTGAAGTACTAACATAATTCATGGGGAGCATCTTAAGGAATACTGTAGGATATGATATCTAAAGGAATACAGAAGTTCATTCTCTAAGTATAGAATCTATCTATCTATCTATCTATCTATCTATCTATCTATCTATCTATCTATCCATCTATCTATCTATCCATCTATCTTAGCTTATTTTCAGTACTTACTAGCTGAGCCCTCAGAATACATCCCCAAAAATCTGTTTTTAAGTTTCCAAATAACCATGATGTTTATGTTGTAGCAAAGCAACTCTGTAGTTTATAAATAACTGCATGGTACTTTTTAAAAATAACACGAAGCTAAATTTCCTTTCTCATTCAAATTTGTGTGAAATGCCTCTTTAAGGCAACACGGAAATATCTGGAAATACTACAAGGGTAGCTCACCAGGAAAGGTGAGAATAAACAGCAAAGGAACTAGCATATGGTAAAAAATTTGCTTAAGCAAAGTTATTCTAAGTTACCCATCTAGACACTTTTAATTCCAACTTTAAGGTTACTTTCCTCCCTTTCCAGTAACTGTTAAGCACCAACTTGAGAGAATGTTCATTTACTTTCTATGACACCTATACAAACCTGATTATAAAATTGGATAGTGCACAGTAGTTATTTTATAGTAAAATAAATGACCTATTTACAAGCATGAGAACAGACATCAAGGGATTTTACATTTGTCCTTTGCTTGGATGGCTTAGGTAGACCACTGTATTATAGACATCTGTAGAGGATGATGAACTCAATTCAGAAACTGCTGGGTTTTATACAGCAGTTTTTATACAGACACGGGACATTTTTCAGGTTTGGCAGCCCTCATCCTGACTTCCCCAAATGAGTATGATGACATAGAGAAACCTCATTTCTTACTACACTAATGCGATAGTCATTTGATCATCCAAGAAGGATAAGTGACAAATTCTTCATGGTTTTGATAAAAAAGCTAAAAGTAGAGTGGACTGTGTCTACTGTACCTAAACAGAGAACGAACGGGGGGTGGGAAACACATAATAACAATTTTACACTCCCAAGTTAGTGAAAGCTTTTCTCTGAGATTATTACACAGGTTCTGAAATAGAAAAATAATTAAAGATTAATTGTTATTACTCTGAGTGCCTTGTATTCTACATAATCCCAGAGAGCTTTTAGGAGAGTCTTTTTGTACCATGGAGATGAACAAAGTGAAACCTTGGTGATCTTGGGCATCTAACCCTAAGAAAAAAATGTGACGGGCCCTCTCTGGTGGCACAATGGGTTAAGTGCAGCACTATGAGTCTGTCCATAGCCACTGCAGCTGGCTCAATCCCTGGCCAGGGAGGTGACCCACATGGCACAGCAGACCTCTTCTGTCTCATCCGCTGCTCCCCTCAGCAGTGTATTTCAGTCCATCTGCCTGTTCTGCTCCCAACTCTGTCTCTGGTGAACCTCTTACCACCCCTGCAAATCTGGCCTGAACCCCATAAACAAATAATTTATGCATAATTCTGTATGCATTAATAAATAAAAAAAATCTTTCAAACAAAGTGACAAGGCATCAATTTAGAAAGACAATTTTGTGTTTCACTAATTTTCATGAGTAGCAATAGAATGTGTGACTTCATGAATGAGGTCAACCATTCTGTGATTCAGGCCATAAGAAGGTGGAACAACCTGGAAAGAAGAAAGGGCCCCCATTCCAGCAAAATCTTTTTATTAGGGAATCCATAAATTAATGGACAAAATGAAGTTGGAATTACCCCAATAGTAATGCTACTATCAAAGAGCAACTTGATCTGAATTCCTGTTTAATAAGAAGACAAGAAAGGAGATTCTCAAGTACTGGCTTCTGGGTTCAGCCACATGCAACTGGCAATGACCTGCCATTTTTCACCCTCAAAATTGTAGATTGTATATAGGTCACATAATACAACTGCCCTTCAAAGTTATTCCCAAAAGGATTGCAAAGATGTTTAAAGAATGTTACATGAGAACATAGCACAGTGTTCTTTGGGGAAACAGTCCCTTCCCACTTACTTGTGTCTGATGATACTTCATATTAGCAATAACCAAAAGAGCGTATTTTCATCTACCATTAGAGCTAGATTATTTCAGCTTCTTTAGACCTTAGCTTCTTCAACTGTAAGAATGGAAGCAGATGATTACTTCTGTCCATTCTTATTTTAATCACTGAATTAAATGAATTTGGTAGCAGCCATGAAGTTTAATCACAATAGTAAAAACCACATATAGGTCGTTTGAGCTAAAAATGCAAACTATCTATGCCAAAATGATTTTCTTTTGATAGAGTAAGTAGCATCTCCAACCCTGTTCTTCAGCCCCCCAAAAAGAAAGTTTTTACTATTTCATGCACCCCCCCTTATTAAAGTGCTAGTAAAAAAAAAATTCATAGTACCAGAAATGTTTATATTTTGTGAGCTTGCTTTATAAATAAAAGACTAGTTATTGATATGAAAATTTCATAATGCAGGGTTAGGTTTTTAGGCTTTGGGGGGGGGGATTTTCTAAACAAAAGACCAACAAAGTTTTGGAAGCTAGAGAGATCCGAGCCATATCATTCTCATTGTTCTCCTTGCCTTTAATTCTCCCCCAAAGTCCTTCAATAAAGTGGTTTGATTCTCCAATCCTCCTCCCACTCCACCCCCCCAAAAAAAGAGACTAGTAAGTCACAGATAGCTGTGCTTATTCAAGCACAAAATCAATTTTAAAATTCCTGCACTAACAATTTCTATGGCGTGGTTTCAGATAGGCCAGTGTCTAGGATTTTCAGAGGGAAAGTGTTCACCTTTAATATTTAATGTTGGCCTAGTGCAAAGCATCTTGTTACGAGCTAAGGGAAACACAAAACGAAGTAATACACAGACATTGCCCTCAAGAAAGTTCACAGCCTGTGTAGGAAAGGATACAGGGGGTGGGTTTGACAGGCAAGTGCCTGTCCCAGTCAGTAAGCACGAAACCATGAGTGAAAAACAAAGTCACAGAGGAGTGAGGAACTGGGGGAAATTTGACTCAGATGGATGAAGACCCCCAGAAATAAGCGCAAACAAGCTTTGTAGGAAGCACTTTTCTAAAAACTCCATTAGGGGCCTCCCTGGTGGCCCAAGGTTAAGTCTCAGCACTGCGAGGCTCTCTGCAGCCACTGCAGCGTGAGTTCAATCCCCGGCCAGGGAGCTGACCTGCGTGACACAGCAGACCTCTCCCGTCTCCCCTGCTGCTCCCCTCAGCAGTGTATTTCAGTGGATCTGCCTGTTCTGCTGAGCACCCTGTTCCTGGTGAATCCTCTCACATCCCTCATTTCTGGTCTACAGCCCAGCTCTTACATGCATAAAATAAAATAAATCTTTAAAAACAAAAGGTCCTTTAAATCTGCTAACAACCCACAGGCAGACGGTTGAACTGCCTCCCGGGGCAGATGCAGATGCTGGGAAAACACTAGGCACTGATTCATCCGGGACTTCGTAGTCCTGGCCAAACTCAGGTGGAGCCCCAGGGGTCTGAGGCCATTGTTGAAGAAATTGGACCCAAACTGTATCCGCAAAGGGAGGGAAGCCGTGGGGAAGAAAAGGAACATGGCAAGGGCTTAAGTCCCAGGATAGAAATGAAGAGATTTTCACCTCCCGCCCTGAGAGGACACCCAATTTGTCCTGTTGGGGGAAGTCAGGCTCTGAAAAGGCCACGGGGTTTGTATTTTGATATTTTCTTACTCATCTCCGTATAGACCAGGTTTCAAGACAGTAAATGTTCAAATCCCCTCTAAAATGTAGGAGTAGTGAGCTTCAATTCTTTGTGTGTTTTTCCAGAGGAAGTGTTTGGAACTGCTATGGCACTGAGAAGCATCTTACATTTCCTGTTTTAAATCAAGATATTCAAAAGCAAAATTAATGAAAAGACAGCCATTTCCTTTCACACTCCAGGATCCAAGTTAGGTTATACACATTTGTCCCCTGCAGAGAAAGCTGTACGAGCCATGTTTTGTGATGGCAAAGCTAATTTATAGCTTCGCTTTCAAGGCTTCTTCATAAAATACTTAAGTAACTGGCACCAGGAATGGGAGTGTGAGTGAAAACACACTTGAATGCTTTCTGCATGGTGTTCCCTGGCTGTTTGTAGATAAAACTTGCAAAATACAGAACATCTGAAACTTCTGTAATGCGTGCTTTTCTGCTTCCTTTATACCCTCTGGAACTGTATTATCACACTTTTTGCAGGAAAAAGGCAAAGCAATCTTGAGGCGATTTATCTATTCTGGTGTGCAGGCGGAAGGTGCTCTTACCTCACAGTTGCTGAGATCAAGGGAGACCCCCTTCAAGTTATGGTTACAAGCCAGGCCCAACAACAGTGCCCTGAGGGAAGGAAACACACACTTGAGATGCAAATTCCACGCACGACACTGAAAATTTGTCAGCACACTGAATAAAACCCAGAGAAAGAAGAACGCCTTCCTCTGAGTCACAGGTCAAGATTCCAGCACCACCCCATTTTTTAAAATGCCAACTGCATTTTTGCCTCCCAACAGCAGTGAAAAAATTGACGTCGCCACATTCTTCTGTTTGACAAGGAGCAGGCCCATCATAAATGCAAAACCTGACAGGACTGCCTTTCCTATGCAAATAAATCAATAGCGCACCTAATTGCACAGTGAAATTAAATTGTGTTCATCACAGATAAATTCCCACCTGCATCTGCTTGAAAACACCTTTAATAATGTTCAGAATATTCGTAGGTGATTGTTAGAGTAGCAAAGGGAAGCTGGTTTTCCCTAAGGAATCTGGCAGGGAGGTTGTCACAGTACTCCAGGATGTGAAATGATAGCTGATGGGTTTATTAAGGACCTGCAGAGGCGGGAAGAGGAAGAGTAGAATGCACTAGAGCTGCAGCATTGGGATCTGCCTGGCTCGTCGTGGTCACTGGGCCACCCAGCTCTCGGCTCTAAAGAGCAATCTCATCTGCCTGTTGAGAAAGGACTAGTCACACAGATGTCTCCTCTCTCTGAGAGAATCGATGGATTCCACATTCACAAGTCAAGCCTGTATGATCCAACAGCAGCGAGTGGGTTTAAAACAGAAATTCCTCACACATACACATCCATGACATTACAGAGGTCCTCCTCCAGGCCCTGTGGACAACACAAGGATGAGCAGGAGGGGGCTCCCCTTTCCAGCAGGGGAGCACATATGTGTGTGAAGAATGACAGTCAGCCTTTGCTAGCAGGGGTCACCTCGTGTCCACGTTTCCAAGAGAAGGAGCTCCATCTCCACCCAGGCAAGGCAGGGAGGCAGGGAATGACTTCACCCCGGAGTCTCTGAGATCTGCCCCACTACTGACTCTGGGTCTCATGTGGAGGGAGCACCCCAAGGCCAGGAGCACAGCAGCCTGGCTGTTGCCAGCCAAGGAGATGAGCTGTGACAAGGAAGCCGGAGAGTCGTCCACTCCACTGCTCTAATCTAGCTCCCTGTTCCTCATTCGAGAGCCTGTCCTTTGAGAAAGACTGGGCAGAGCTCCTCTGTGCAGCTGGTCTGTTCCATTTCTTACACGGCCTTCCCTGGTGGCGCAGCGGGTTAAAGCACAGCACTGAGAAGCTAAAGCCACTTCCTCATGAGTTCGATCCCCGCCTGCCCCGGAGGTGACCACATGGCGAGGCAGACCTCTCCTGGCCCGCCCGCTGCTCCCCTCAGCAGTGTACTTCGTCGATCTGCCTGTTCTGCTCCCCACTCTGTCTCTGGTGAAGCCTCTCACCGCCCCTGAGCCTCTGGCCTGTACCCCAGCTCTGTATGTACAAATAAATAACTATTTAAAAAAAAAAAAGTATTTTCTCCCATTCTTTGCTGGGGGTTGTTTTAAGGCACTGAAAGAGACTGGACCAGGAACCCAAAGGCTGGGTCCCGGCCTGAGGCACCTCAGATTTTTCTCTCTGCCATCTCAGGCTCTCATCAGCAAAAGAGGAAGAATTCAGACACGCGCAAAGAGGTCCCTTTAATTTCTAATCTACCCGGAGTTTCTAAGGACTCAATTTTATATTTTATATATTTACAAAGTTTATTTTATGTATTTTATAAAGTTTTACAAAGTTTAGATGACAGCAAAATCCTTCCCGCTTTTCTGACTTGTAGATTAAAAACCAAGAAAACAAATGGCGTGCTTTCAAATATTCAACTCTAGAAGCTCGGTGATTAAGATGTGATGACTCCTGAGACACATAAATATAAAAAATGCACAGAAATTGTTGCAAATAAGTAAAAAAAAAAAACACACACACAGACACAGATAAACAAAACATACAAAAACCGTGGGGGGTGTTCTAATAAGACACATTGTTTCTTGTAAACCGGTGATACAAAATCTGCCTTAATCCACTCAGTTCTCAATTACTAGTACAAAATGACTACGACAAGAATTTGTCTTTTAGTTCCCCAAATAACTCTGGAATAACACAGTTAACGTATTATTTTCAATACCAAGTATCTGAGCTTGGAGAAAAAGGGTTACTTTGTTCCAGGAAGGCAGGGAGGTTAAGAGATCCGGGAAGAAGGGATGAGAGTACAAAAAGCTGAAGAAAACAAGAATGAGCAGCAAATAGGAACAGATCAGCCTCGGAAACAGGAACCAAACTATCTGAGGCGTTCAGGAAGCAATGACGAGCAACCTCACCATGTCTTGCCCTTGGACTATTTCAACTTGGCTTGCCAGTCTCTAAGGAAAAGCATAACTATAAAACATCAATATTTTCTGCCTTGCTTTTGAAGAACTCCAAATAAAGTGGGAACTCTGCAAAAGATTAAGTCCAAAGTGCTACTCTCATCAGCAGCTGCATTTCTTTACCTTATTCTCTTATAGCTCCTGACCCCCAGCTCCTTAAAAATTTAAGAAGGAGCAATGTGGGGTCAGGGCGAGTACAGAGCCGGGGTAGCTGGCTGACTGAGGTTGACACTGTACACACCTTCCAGTCTCTCAATCCTCTCTGGGGACTGATTCACTGAAGAAAGCAACTAATCCAAAATTACGTCTCCTTCCCGGTAGCCTGTATCCAATGCAGAGATCTAAAGGCCCAGCCTGCTCACTCCAGTTCAGGACAGTTCTAAGAAGGGTGTTTCCAGTCACAGAGCTTCATGAAGTCGGCCAAGGCTTTCACTGTCAACGTGGTCATCCCAGGAGCACTTGTGAATAAATAGAATGTATGCCTGTGCCACCTTGCTTCCCAGTAGAACCACCCAACACAAGGGCACTTTGATGAATTACTAAGCTGTTTAAGCCTCAACAATAAAGAAACGAGATAACGGTACCTTCCCACAACTGGAGGTGGTATCTCTATGATGCACCCACAGTGATGTCTAGCTTAGGGTAGTGCTTTGCAAGGTCCCTTCCATTTCCAGCCCCTCTCACAGGTAAATCCGAGCACCTCAGCTTGAGTGTACCTTGTCCCATTCTAGTGTCACATGAAATGTAGATATGGAATTTTATTGACATATGCTTCAGCCTTGTAAAGCCTTTTTTCTAGCATTAAAATTTTACTGAGTAAAACAGAGACCAGAAGCAATAACTGATGTAATGTTAAATGGTCACACTACTAAGACCAGGTCCTAAGATTTAACATGTAAAAAACAACTTTTGAGTGAGTCCCTGCATCTGCCCACACTCACTCCTAAGTGAGTACTTCACCCACAATACAGTTGCATTTCTAACTCAAAAAAAAAAAAAAAAGTTGAAAAAAATTATTTATGCTTGTTATCTATAATAAAGTACAAAAAATCCAGTGTTGTGATAATGTGAAATTGTCCATAAAATCTATTACAGTAATCGGCTCTCCTTGGTGGCGCAGCGGGATAAAGCACAGCACTGAGAAGCTAAAGCCACTTCCGCATGAGTTCGATTCCCACCTGCCCCGGAGGAGATCCACATGGTGTGGCAGACCTCTCCTGGCCCGCCTGCTGCTCCCCTCAGCGGTGTACTTCGTTGATCTGCCTGTTCTGCTCCCCACTCTGTCTCTGGTGAATGCTCTCACCTTCCGCATCTCTGGCCTGTACCCCAGTTCCATATGAATAAATAAATAAATCTTTAAAAAAAATCTATTACAGTAATAAATGAAGAGGTACTCTCGATTTTACGTGAACCAACACCATTGAAGAAGTGCTTGCAACTAACATGACTTTAAACATGCCAACCTTCCATTCAAGCCTGGCATTGTACCCTCGTCACTCACCTCTGGGCACCTAACTCTTGAAGTATTAGCTGAATGAATGAGTGTGAGTAACCTGTAAGGGAATCTTCTTTAGAAGCTTGATTCTGACAGCTTTATTAATTCCCAACAATCTGTGAGGCTTTAACTATTTGCAGCTTTTCCATCTAAAAGATCTATAACATACTGATTCAATGTTTAAGGAAAAAAAGTAAACGTCTGTTGTAACTTCAGATTTTTTTTTTTTTTTTTTTTTGGTAACAGGGGCTCCATCTACTGTTTTTAAAGATGCCCACTGTGTAGTTTCATGGTATTAGGTGAAACACTGTAATCATGACTTTCACCTCTCAAATTGGACAAAAAAAAAAAAAAGACAGTTTACAAATTGGATGAAGATTAATTTTCAGGTAAAATGTAATAGCAGGCTTTGATGGTTAACATTTCATGCCGAGAAAATTAAATACTGATTTAGGTGTCAGCTGGGGAAGAGAGAAGTCTGCACATACACTGGAGCATCTCTGACATATTCATATTCTTCACTGCTTGAATAAGTTCCTTAGAGTCTAAGAGAACTTTATTCTATAGCCTCTGAGCAACAAACTTTTGATTATTTCTGGCAATGGTGAGCAAACATTTCAAGGAGAACAAAATAATTTTAAACCTTAATTTAGCTCATCAGCTTACCTCTACCACTATACCTACACTAGGAATATTAAGCCATAAAATAAGGTGTTGGGGTAAGAAACCCCAACAAGCCTATCTTAGCCTGGGTAGCTAGGGAACCCAAGCACCTAAAAAAAAGGGTTCTGGGGCCTTCCTGGTGGCCTAGGGGTTAACTTTCAGCACTATCATAATGAAGGCCTAGGTTCGATCCCCGGCCAGGGAGCTGACCCACACGGCGCAGCAGACCTCTCCCGTCTCGTCCGCTGCTCCCTCAGCTGTGTATTTCAGTCAGTCTGCCTATCTGCTCCCCACTCTCTCTGGTGATTCCTCTCAACCCCCATACCTCTGGCCTGTACTCCAGTTCTTCTGCATAAAAATGATTTTTTAATATTTTTAAAAATAAATAAAAACTGGTTTTGTTGCAATCATATAAACGTCTTATGATGGCTAGTAGGAATATTTGGACTATTATTAAAACACACAAACAAGAGTACCCCCAAAACGGCCTGAACAGAGGGCATGGAATGACAGTGGCACCTGGGGACACAACTTCTATAGGCCAGTGATTACTGCCAAGGCCACAAACCAAAGAAAGACTTTTCCCCCCGATAGAAGATGCAATAATATCAATAGTGCACAATGTATTGAAGACGAATTTGATTTCGTCTAGTGCCCCACATAAAAAGACATTTTTATCTGCCTTGTCTGTCTCAGGATCATACGTCTTTTTCCTTCCCTCCGGCACATTCATAATAATGAATTGAACTTTAAAAGCTCTGGAGAAAATGAATTAATGACTCACTTTAAAGGCTCAGGAGACAGTTTCGTGCCTGAAAGGTTGATCTGCATCAGAGCCAGAGAACTACTAAAAAATTGCTTGAAAGATGGGGGTACTTCTTTGCCTTTCCTGAAAAACAAAAAAAGAAGAGAATTGGACTTTGCAACTGGCAAAATTACTAAGTGGCCATTCATTGTGAAGTAATCCATGAATCAGTTATATTTTCATTAGAAATGTAAAGGTAAAGAGAACACCTGAAAGCTAAATAAATCAATTCAATATAGCTAAAGGAATGATGTCTGAGAAAGAGCAACTGTTCATGAAGCTCTTCAAGCATTTTATTCCTGTTCTTTGTAGCCAGTGAAATCATGGTGCTTTACTCCCACATCTTCGGGAAACATGTCAGGCTATTTGAAATGAACTATCTCAGTAATTAAAACTCACTTTGGAATGAGAATTCTAGTGGTATAAACACTCAACAGTTCCAACAATTCTGGTTCCAGATAGTAGGTGAACAGAAGCTTGTATATTCTGCTCGTTTATTGACGAGCAAATGTTGTTAATTTTTTCTTTGGATACAGTTCTCTTCCTGTCACTGTGTCTTGGTGGATGCTATTGCATTGTTTCCAGCTATTCAGTGTCCCTTCCTGAAGAAGGATGATGCTTTGTCACCCCAGTGACAGCAGGCTCGGCCCTGCAAGTCTATTTGGCCAAAGGGATATGGGTACACATAATTAACTGTGGTTTCCTGAGAGAAACTTTACCATTACCAGACAGTATGTGAGCTACTATGGTTTTTCCTCCTCTGTCAAGGTTCTAGACAGAGATTGCTATGTCACCCAGAGTAAAAGACATGTGCCTTGTCCACAGGACATGTCATGATATCCTTGCTGCCGAAAGCCACAGGGATGGGAATGGACTGAGGTGGGGGAGGGGAGATCATGTGTTGCTGCAGAACAACCTGCCCTATCCTCACTGATAGACATAGGAATTTAGTCACAGCATGAAGAAGCCCCTAACAATGCACACAACTCAGTATGAATGCCACAATTTCAACCTAATTACCAAGGACTTTCAATGGTTACATCTAGGGAAGGTAGAAGATGTTAAACACTTTCTATGACTGTCCATTTAGAAATAAGAATTTCTGTTACGCAGTTCTGCTCTTCAAGCTTAACAGCTCTACTGAAGACCACTTGTTGCAGAAATCACAGAATGGTAAACTCGAGAGCCGATTATATGAAAATTTTTACAGTCTACAATATCCTCTTTTAACTCAGTTCTTCAACTACAGCTCTGCCACAGCATGGTTTCAGAAGCCACCATGAAATACATGAGCCAAGAGGGTGCTCTCAAGGACCTCAAATAACACTGAAACTACTCTTAACTTTTCCTACAATTTAGATTTTAGACTCTTACTTTCTTCCATTGAGGTATTTATGGAATATTTTTGCTCTTATATAAGATTTACATCTGTAAATCTGGATCAACTGTACTTAAAAAGCTCACCAATAAAAATGGAGATATTTCTAACATCAAGCAATTCTCCATGTTATTAAAGAAGATACAGTGACTATGACTTGTGGTCATAATTAAGAGAGCGAGGTGTTGAACTAAATGAATATATTAGATAATCTGAGAATTCCACACTTACATAACCACATATTTTTCATAATTCTGTAACCACATATTTTCCATAATTCTATGTCAGATGTCTGTGTCAATACTTGCTATTTCTAATCTACTGCCTTATTTTGCAAGTAACTCTAAATCAGAAAAGCAGAAGTTAAGTATTTAGATTAGCCTTCCGTTTACTTACAGTGGAAGCTGAAATGGCTAAGCTTTGGCTCTTGGCTACCCAGAAATACTTGATACTTACCTCGAAGTTTATTACCGAGAAATACCAAGAGAAGTTATTAAAGGTTTTTACTGTATTAGGATTGTCAGTCTACATGTGAGAAATAACATTTTTGTGCAGTTCACTGAGACAGGCTGGAGTTATTGGTGAAAAAGGTATTTTAAAAAATTGAACTTTAAGACGTTCAAGTCACAGATAACCATCTATGGCCAACTCTTTCCTCGCGTACAACATTTCGTTTTAGCACTGTTTTTCTATCATGAAAACTTTCTCCTAGAGGAGGACGCCCCTCGAGGACAGCAGCAAGAATCAATGCCTACCGATGAGAAAAGACAGTTCTGGAGACATTGAGCACAGCTAAGTATTGAAGGCATCCACGGAGAAGAGCGCCACAGACCTGAGGAAGAAATAAAGTTACTTTCATTTTCAAGTATTTCCAGGGCTCAAGGAATATTTTATCAGTGATCCCCTCGTTTCCCATCTCAATACCTATTCTGAGAGACTCTCCCCACCCCCCAAGAGCATTATAAGAAAATATTACCATGTCCAGGGAACACTCTGTATTGGATAAATCCAGATGAGCAATGGCATTTGGCTGGGCCAAGAAACTGTACATGTACTTGAAATAAAAACCAAAACAAATATATTAGGACCTAAAGACACACACACACACACACACACACACACACAATGGTAACTACTATATTTTAAAATGCAGTTGTCCTAATGCTCCAAGATTTACTCTATTCTTTCCAAAGGACTAGTGGGATCTTCTGTCACTGTTACCTTCTCTGAGAGCAAAACTTCAAAGAATATTTAAATAGAATTAAATTTCAGTTAAAGAAAAGGCCAATGGAATCTCGCTACCAATCTCCCTTTTTGTTACAAGTGACAATTCTTCTGACTGACTCCACCTTTATTATACAGTTCTGGAAGAGTGGTAATCATTTTTAACTGCTAAGAATGAAATACTACCTGAGTTAACAGACACCCTATCAAAATGCTAATCCCTTCAGAAAGTGATAGGAGGAACCAACCATTTGAACTACAGGATGGTCTCAGGCTATATATTCTCTGTGTATAACACAATGATTTTTCTATACTCAGTTACTTCCAAAGTCTAACAAGAAAGAGCCTGACATCACAAATTAAAAAAAAAAATTTAAATTTATAAACTGCTGAGACACTTCATGTTTCAGGGTGCCATAATACCTAAACTATCCCCTTATCCACAGACAAGTTCATCACAACAATGAAACGAATAACTCTGCTATTCTCATTACCAGGAAAACAGTTCAACTCTCCTAGTGTTTGCTGGATGTAACCATATACTTGCAAAAACAGGGACAGGGAGAGTTCTAAGGTAAGCACAGACTCAAGTGTAGCAGCTTGGCTATAAGATGATTGAGAGAAATTCTACCATGGCATTCAGAAGAACAGAAGCTCTTCAGGATACTTCAGGTAATCACATTTTATTATGAAATATTCTGACTCTGAAAAAAATCATTCTGCTCTCACAAGAATTTTTCTGTCTCTCCAGCTTTGCATAGCATTGTCTTTACCCCCGGTCACCAGCTGGGGGAGCTCTAACCACCATCATGTGGTAAGGAGAGCCTGGTTGGCTAACACTTCTCCAGAGAAGGGTCCTGTTCACGGACTCCCCAAAAGGCACAGAGCCTCAGTAAGTCCTCCCCTTCACGCCGTCCACAACTCCACCACCCCTGCACCTGCCACGCAGTTCCCACAACCTCAGCCTGTCTGGTTTCATCATTTCATTTCTCCTCCCTAGTGGTCGGCTAGGTCAAGACTCACTTCTGGCCCTTGGAAGATTCCTGAATCACGTTATCTTGGGTGACAAGATCAGTGACCCTATGTTAGCCTAGTTTTATTATTTAGTCTTCAGGCTCCCTTTTTTTTTTTTTTAAATTTTAAGATTTATTTATTTGTACATACAGAACTGGGGTACAGGCCAGAGGCTCAGGGGCGGCGAGAGGCTTCACCAGGGACAGAGTGGGGAACAGAACAGACAGATGGACGAAGTACACTGCTGAGGGGAGCAGCGGGCGGGTCAGGAGAGGTCTGCCACGCCATGTGGTCACCTCCGGGGCAGGCGGGAAGCGAACTCATGTGGAGGTGGCTTTTGCTTCTCAATGCTGTGCTTTAACCTGCTGCGCCACCAGGGTGGGACACAGGCTCCCTTTTTATCCCTCTACTTCTATGATGTTTCACTACTTTGACTTGGGACTCCCCATTTCATCTTGGGAGGAAGCGGATTTGCCTCACTTTATCTCCTTTTTTTGTTATTTGTTTTTTTCTTTTCTTACCTCATGTAGTCCCCATAGTTCTCCTGTTACCATGTCACCCTTGAACGATCACCACAACCTTTTGTGAGCTTCCCTGCCTCTGACCCCCAGCTTCCCTGCTGTGGGACTCAGATCTAGAGTCAGTTTGCTAGTTTTGTCTTTTTCTTGACTTTTGTTTGGTTCCTCTATATTCTGTGTATATACCAATATCTCCTTTCAATCACAAACTATTTTAAAAAATTCTTTACCAGCCATGCTATTTAGCAATGAAATAAATCAGTTAATGCTTCCAACCTTTCTTATCAAGCAATTTTAACAGGTACAACAGTATTTTAAAGTGAAGATAAAAATTCCTTCAGAGGGCCCTCCCTCCCTGGTGGCGCAGCGGGTTAAAGCACAACACTAAGAAGCTTAAGCCAGTCCCGCATGAGTTCGATCCCGGCCTGCCTCGGAGGAGATCTACATGGTGAGGCAGACCTCTCCTGACCCGCCCTCTGCTCCCCTCAGCAGTGTACTTCGTCGATCTGCCTGTTCTGCTCCCCACTCTGTCTCTGGTGAATCCTCTCACCCACCGCATCTCTGGCCTGTATCCCAGTTCTGTTGAATAAATAAGTAAATCTTAAAAAAAAAAAAAAAATTCCTTCAGAAAATGCATTTCCAAAATGGATTCTTAATTCAGCAACATTAAATGAAGGGGTGAGAGGAACTATGATGATAGACTACATTTAATTAAGAAAGAATGGAAGTTTTTCTCGAAGCACAAACAAGCTCATAACTAAAGGACTTTAAGGTACCATTATAAAGGGCATGCAGAGAAGTCATAAGACATGTTTAGAAATTATTCCAGACTTATTAAACACAGCTTCTTTGCAGGTGGTGGTGGGGGAGAGGAGGGCAAATGTAAACCTACCGAGAGGTCATCTCCGCGAAGGATGTTCCCTGAGAGGTCCAGATGGGTGAGGGTGGTGGCAGTCAGCAGGTTGGCACTGAGTGACTGAGAAAGGCTGTTCACCCCTGCAATGTAAAGATCCAGGGTCAACTCCCACTCCAGGAAACAGAATGAGGCTGTGAGTTTCTAGAAACAACGTTGCAGTCCATCCACCTGCAGGGCTGAGTTAACCAGAAGAATCATTCCAAATGGCAGCTCTGTAATTATCTACTTTTGACTTCCTCTCAAGAAGAGCAAGTTTGTCACAGACACAACTATCTCACTGGGAGGTAAAGGAAACAGAAGTGACGTCATTTTGCTTCATTTCCTCTGATGTGGATGGAAAGGACTTCCCCTTTAAATCTTACAATGTGCTAAGATGAAGATCTAATTGGTCATTTCAGTCCTTCTCTAAGTCCTTTCTAATGACCCTGACTTACTGTCCACTAGTTAAATGACAGAGGTGCAATTGCAGACACTAGGGGATTTTAAAGAATGTAAGAAGTTAATATAGGAATTATAGAACCTAATATAGAATACTTACAGTACTTAACATAGTATACTAAATGTAACAGACTAAAGGGGAAGATTTAGATTGAAATGCATTTTACAAAGATGAGAAAATGATCGGTGCACCATGCCAAGGAAATAAAAAGAAACAGTGATGATCATGCGCTCTTCTTTATTTATATACGTAACAGTTAAACTGCACTGAACTAAACTAGTAATACCACCCCAGAAACAAGAAAACAAATACATGAAGAAGGCAAGATTGTTCTAAGAGGAGACGCTTTGTTCTGACATATATGTGTATCACTGCTTTGTGTGGCTACAAAGTGAAAGCCCAGAAAAGTCCATCATCCACTAGAACTTAAAGAGGTCAATGCACACACATATCACTGATTATCAGGCTGACAGGGACTTGGGACCTTGCAAAGTTCTTCTTGTTTTTAGTCAAAGACTCTGTTTCCAGATAGTAGATTTTGGCAGTACACCTATTTCTCAATAGAGGACACTTTTCTACATCATTTCACTTTTCTTGCTTTTCCATAAAACTCTTCTTGAATATCCCAGCCTGTAAATCACTCTACAGAAAAGCAGGAAAGAGGGCTCTGTCCACACACCTGGAAAGGGCTTATGTCAGAATGAGGGAAGAAGCAAGCTGAGGTGATGTCAGCAGAGGGAACCCAAGAAAAAAGCTGATCATGTCAACTACAGCCTGCATTGGAGCTGTTCTCATTTCTAGGGTGAGAATGACTGTTGTGTGATACAGATGAGGTTGTCTGATTTGCTAGTTTGAGTTACAAAGAGATATTCTAACAGATGTTGAGGATCTGCATGCATTTGGGTACACAGGAAAAAGACACAGAGGGTTTGAGTGAAAAATATTTCAGGTAAGTGCAAAAGGCATTTTCTGGTCATCAACTCAACATTTATTAAGCGTCATCCAATGTCTGTAAAATGTTGGTGACTGCGAAATATACATAAATGAAAACCAGGCTTTGTCCTCAAAAAGTTTAAAGGCCATCAGGAAAGAAATGAAACAAATTTCTGGAAGAGAGTTCAGGAATATATGAGAGACCATTTTTGCAACCACTCTTCTTTGAAAGTCTACTGTATATCAGGCGTGGGCTTGCAACACCTGGGGATTCTATCTGACCTCTAAGCCAGGGCAATAAGAGATACAGGCATCCTGCTGGTCACAACTAAGCGAGATGGGGCCTATCAAGAGGTAAGAACAAGTGCTTGTCAGCAAAGAGGGTGAAGATTAGATTAATAGTGTTAGGTAAAAGGAACTGCAAAGGCCTTCACAAAAGGTTCATCTCTGGAGGTAACTTCTACAGTTGCTTAAATGACCAACTTCCTCTCATTTGTCTTACTATTTGTAGCATTCACATAGTTTGTAATGGAATAATTGACTCCAAAACATATGGAAAATACCAGGCTCTCATCAGGAAAATCATTTGTAAAATTATTTCCTTAGAGGGATATAACAAGACTGAATAAATAATTTCTAAAATTAGAAGGTCAAATTAGTCTTGACAGCAAAATGCTCCTTGACAAGTGTGGGCGCTTGGCAGCTGGCCAACATCTGAATAGAATCAGGAGAGAATCCTGTTATCAGCTCAGCTTCACACTAAAGCAGAATGAAGGATCTCCTCCCCCACCTCTTCAGCCTACATTCACATGCGGCCTGTGTTAATAAGCACACTAAAAGCAGGAAATTACAAAAATATAGGATGGAAAAAAAAAACAGGGCTGGTACAACCCAAACGAAACACAGATTTACATGCCATTCTTGATTCTGACCATTCTGCATGTTTATTATTGGAGTGTTTACAGCTGGAAAAAGGTGGACCAGATGGCCCAGCACTGACATACTCTGGCTGCCAGCAGCATTTACTAGAAATCCAGGACACTATCATTTGTTAGCATCGAAGGCAGAGAAAGGGTACTTGGAAACAGTGTGGATGTCACTGGGAGATTAAAAAAAAAAAAAAAAAAAAAGATAAAAAAGCTATCTTGACTTATGGAGCCATGAATAGAAATGTTTTCACGGGACTAATGGATAAATGTTCGTCATTAGCAAAAGCTGAAGACTGCAGTTATTATGACTCTGCAAGCCCTCGTGAGACTATGTTCAAGACTACATGACAGTCTTCCAGAATTTTGTTTTAAATGATCAACATTTCAAGATATATGCCACAGCATTTAAAATTCTTTAGATCACCCGCCTGGCTAGCTGAGTCGGTAGAGCATGAGACTCTTCAAATTTTTTAGATCACATGTTATAAAACAGTATTAGTTCTCAAAGCATCCTACTGATGTACACATTTTGATTGGGGCTGGAGGGAAAAATCAATGACCTTTATAGGTAAAGACCTATAAAGGGGCTGACCTCACTTGCAAGAAATGGAAGAACCAGCTTTGCTGTGGAAGTGCCTCACTTGTAGCTCACTACTGAGACAGGATAAATGACTACCACAGTCTCTTCTGGCTTTGTAGTCATGCACAAATACATTGAATACATTCAAGTTTTTATTAAAAAAAAAAAGCTAGACCTACATGCATTATTAATAATTTTAATTCATATGAATTTTTACTTAAAATTCAACAGTGTAAATAGATAATTAAAGAAACTATCAATTTCTGGGTCTCCCTGGTGGTGCAGAGGTTAAAGTCTCAGCGTTATTAAGCTATCACCAGCCACTGTGCCATGACTTCAATCCCCAGCCAGTGAGTTAACTTATACAGTGCAGCAGACTTCTCCTCTCTCACCTGCTGCTCCCCTCAGCAGTGGATTTCAGTGAATCCGCCTGTTCTGCTCCCCACTCCATCTCTGGTGAATCCTCTCACTCCTCCCCACCCCTGCATCTCTGACCTACACCCAAGTTCTTGTATGCATAAATAAATAATAAATAAACCTTTGAAAAAAAGTGGGGGGACCTACCAATTTCCTCCAAAAGAAATGCAAGTGCGTTTAGAACAAAAGGGAGAAATTATTAAGCAGTAATTAAAAGGCTAAAATTTAAATATAACAGCACTTTTTTTTCTATGCCTGATAAATCAATGTCAAAATAGAATAAAATCCAGAGATGAAGAGTGTGATGTGATCGGTACAAAATACTTAAGAAGACAAATTAACAAACAAAATCAGAAGAAAACTTAAAAAAATTGGTGTACGGTCTTTGATGTAGTAAATTCACTTACATAAATTGTTCTGAAGAAATTAAAGGACTGATAATTAGGTCTAGAATCGCATTAGCATTGTTTGTATTACTGAGGTTTTAGAACACCATCTAAATATGTACTAGCAGATATTTAAATTATGCTAAAAAAAAAAAAATCCTGGGCCATTACAAGAGATCCTGTGTTTAGCGACATAAAAGATCAACATGTGGAGAAAAAGAAAAGATGATAAACATGTAAGTATAAAGTAGATCCAACACACGTGTGTGTTTGAAATATGTAAACTCTATACAGACAGAAAGTTGTATTGAAATGACAAGTATTTTGCTTTCTCATTTATACTTGTCAGTATCTTCTAAATCTTTTCCAGAAATACGTAAATGGATGGATAATATTACAAAAGGTTTTTAAAAATTGATCTCCTGGGGTGTAACAGTCATCATATAATGCTTTAAGATCTGTAGAGGATTTCAGGCACCAGGACAGAGACCACTGATGCCCAGGGGGAATCCTTCCCTTTGAAAATTTACTTTTATGGCTTCATCTTAACCACATCTTAACAAACACACACACACAAAATCATGGGACTTGCAAAATTAACCCCAACTTCCAGTCACTCTTGGCGTAACTGTATAAGAAGATAGCATGACTGGTTGGCTATTTAAGCATTAAGAGAACACACTGCTGCACCCACTGCCCCGTGATACAGTCAAAGGCAGTCTCCAATATGCCAGGTCTGGACACGCCCAGGCTGGGGCACAATCAAAACACAGTAAGAAATGAGGTAAAATAGAGGAATTTACAAAAGGCAATGGAATACCAGGAAAGGTGCTCTCAAGAGGGCGGTGGGGGGATTCAAAGAAAAGGTGAGCTAAAAGCTTAATCTTGTAGGGGAAGCAGAAAGTCATCATATCTGAGGCAGGGACACTGGCCCAAGTCAAAATAAAAGCTTCTAGAAACTTCAGACAGCATAAGATGATGACAACGATGATGGGGGGGTGGTAAAGACAGTGTGTGGAGGCAGTACCTGGGGCTCTTTATGCCCAAACTGCACTGTATGATTGCATTCATTTCATCCCACTGATTTATTCCTACCACTTGTGATGAGGGAGTTATTTTTATTCCTATCTCACCAAAGAAACTACTGAGGATCCACTAGATTGTAAAAGCACGTTAAAGTTAGGCTTCCACGCTAGCCATCCAGCTTAAGAACGGGCACTCTTAGTCACCACAGGCTTGGGCACACCGCATTCTGGATACCATACTTTGCTGCACTTGGCAGACTCTGAGCTTTGACAAACTGTAGGTCTATGCCCACCTAGCAAGTCTGCTGGGACCATTTTCCCAGAAGTGCATGCTTGCTTTCTCTGTGTCCCATTTAATGACGGCAGGCACTTAGCTTCTCATAGACGTAATGCTGCCGCACAGTGAATCTTTATTAGTAGAGCACCAACATCAATTGCCCATACTCAGGGAAACCAGAAACTTCCATGACTCACTTCACTGTGGTACTTGCTTTCTTGTGGAGTTCTGGGATGCCACCTGTGACCTCTCTGAGGTATGCCATCAAAAGACAGTGATATAGTTAAGAAAAGGCCACTTACTCAATTCAAGGCATTTTCATGAAAGACCCACAGTGCCCCAAACATGCCAGGTGTTAGAGACAAAGGGAGCAGAGAGGCACAGGCCACAACCTGCACGGAAGATCCAAACTTTACAAAAGGCCCGACACCTGGTGGAGAGTAACACCAAAGAAAGAGCAATGGGTCCCACTGAGGTCTGGGGAGTAGGGAAGATGTCCCAGAGAGAGAACACAGATGAAGGACTGATAAAATAAATTCAAGCTCTCTGGGATGAAAGAAAAATTCCTGGGGCAGAACACAAAGCCTTTGGAAAGGTACAGTGTAAGCAGAAATAGCTCCACTATGATCGGGGGCTAATGTTGCAAACTAACAGAACTGACAAGAATTGATGAGCAACCAGATAAAGGAGAGAAGGGTGAGTAGAATCAAGCATGAACCTGTGGAAAGGGAAGCAATTTCCATAGACAGGAAGCAGCGGACGAAGAGCTACATTGGTAACTCAGAAGTTGGGGTCAACCATTTTCTGTGAAACAGTCTGCAAAGGACTATGGGAGATGGACTATGGATACTTTGGTGGTGACTGTGGTTTGGTAACAACAACTGAAGGCAGAGAGCCTATACCCTTAAAACACATGTAATGATAGAAATCAGTAAAATGTAAAAAGCAGACAATTTGTCTGACAGGTGCTGAGGTGAGGGTGGGGTGTGGGGGTATTGACTTGCTTATCCCAGGATAAGCCACAAGAAACACCTTGTGAATGTGAGGAGGGCAGGAGGCAGCCTGAAGCAGTCCCTGACTCAAAGTTAAAAATGAATGTGGATTTTAAAATTATTCTCTATTCTGAAAGTAGTTAAATTTAGCAACCAGAATTCAAACTACATAATTTCTTTACTTGAGTAAAACTGGCAGAATACCATCATACCACATTCTTCAATGCAGATACTTAACTACATAATCATTGTAATTACTTAAGAAAGCACCAAATATTAGAGATCCAACAGTAAGTAAATAAGATATACTGTACCTTTAGGTGACAATGAGGTTTTAGATAAATTTAAATGCTTCAATCCCTTTGGAAGTTTGGCAAATTGAATACTTAAAGAGGACACACCTGAGGAAGAAAAAAAAGATGGTTATAATTTTCAAGTTCTTCAAATTGACAAAGTCTGAAAACTAACCTAAGTTTGGTTCCAATCTGGGCAATCGCTTCTATTTCCTAATGTCAAACTTGGCTTTCTAATCCTCTACCACTTTTCTTTCTTTCCTACCTGTCGGGCAGGAGAAGAGGCAGATTGTGTAATGAAGCATAACAACATCAAAACCTTAGCACAGTTAAGGCTATTTTCCTTTGGAACAAATTTTGCCTTCACTTTCCAGTCCTATTTCTAATACAAGTCCTCTTGGGAAGAGCGATAAAATTGTTTCTCTCTTTTCTTTTTAACCTGCGCCTGAAGGAAATGATCACGCTTCTGAGTGAGCAGATGCATGCTATTTAATTATTGTCAAGAAAAGTGGCATAATATTAACTATTCAGATTACAGCTTCACTTTTAGCAGATGGATTCCAATATTTAAATGGCTTGTGGCTAATAACCTCAGACAAAGCATCAAAGCAGGTTTCAACTTCTTAAAGGTGGTCATGTAACATGAAATAACTCACAAGGAATTTAAATCAGATAATCTCCACATTTAACAGCCGGAGTGGGAGACTGAACACCAGCGCATTCATTCAAGGATGGCAATGCATGGAGGCCGCTTTCTGGGAAGAACCGAGTACCACAAGAATGTATGTCCTTCCTCCCGCTTTTGCCACCCGCCCTCTGTTCATGTGAGTTACCACCTCCCAAGAGCCATGTTCGTTCCTGGGAGGACCCCTAGAGAACTAGCAACCATACAATACCCCAAGACTGATTCTCTAACTCCAGGAACCTATTAAGAACTACTGTGCAGTTTGCTGCACTATTATAGAACCCCATGTGCCCTATAAATATTATCAGAGTTTATTAAAAATTAGCTGCTATAGCAATAACCTACATCATGTACCTTGCCTAAGCCCCCAAATGAGAGTTTCTATGTAGCCCCCTTAGAGCATTTCAGTGTCAAGTAAGGTTGACAGCACCTGGATTAAATAATGTTAAACAGGCCCTCCCTGGTGGCGCAGCGGGTTAAAGCACTGCACTGAGAAGCTAAAGCCACTTCCGCATGAGTTCGATTCCCGCCTGCCCCGGAGGTGACCACATGGCGCAGCAGACCTCTCCTGGCCCACCTGCTGCTCCCCTCAGCAGTGTACTTTGTCGATCTGCCTGTTCTGCTCCCCACTCTGTCTCTGGTGAAGCCTCTCACCGCCCCGAGCCTCTGGCCTGTACCCCAGTTCTGTATGCATAAATAAATAAATCTTTTAAAAAAATAATAATAGTAATGTTAAACAGCTTGTCATATATTGTTCCATTTCATGTCAGTTGCATCAAAATACTCACTTTGTAAGAATTCATTAAGATATAATTTAGGGTTGATGGACTTCTCTGAATGGACCATTTACTTCAATAAGAAAAATTACTTCCAACAACTGGATATAGATGATTTTTTAGCTACAACATCAAAACCACTGTCCACTAAAGAAATAACTGATAAGGTGGACTTCATTAAAATTGAAAAGTTCTGTCCTGCCAAAGACAATATCAAGAGAATGAGAAGACAGGTCATAGATGAGAAGGCAATGTCTGCAAAGGATATATCTGCTAAAAGACTGTCATTCAGAATTTACAAAAAAACTCTTAAAAGTCAACAATCAGGGCCCTCCGTGTTGGCTCTTCAGGGTAAAGCACAGTACTGCAAGAGAGCTACAGCAGCTTCAGGTCGATTCCCCGCCAGGGAGGTGACCCACATGGTGCAGCAGACCTCTCCTGACCTGCCTGCTGCTCCTCTCAGCAGTGGACTTTGTCAATCTGCCTGTTCTGCGCCCCACTCTGTCTCTGGTGAAGCCTCTCAAAGCCCCTGAGCCTCTGGCCTGTACCCCAGTTCTGTATGAATAAATAAAAATCTTAAAAAAAAAAGTCAACAATCAAAAAACACTTTTGTCTCATTAAAAAAATGAGACAAAGACCTTAACAGACACCTTACCACAACAGCTATACAGATAATAAATAAGCACATGAAAAGATGCTCAGTTTCATGTGTCATCAGGAAAATGCAAATAAATGGAAACAACACCCATTAGCATGTCTGAACTCTCGCACACTGACACCATCAAGTGTTGGCCAAAATATGGAGCAAGGAACTCTCAACTCTTGTTGGTGGAAAAGCAAAATGATACAACCATTGGAACATAGTTATTGGTTTCTCACAAAATTAAGCACCTTATCATATGATCCAACACACATTCCTTGGTATTTACCCAAAAGAGTTGAAAAAAGTGAAAGTCAGGATTTTCAGTAGAGTGAAGATATTCTGCATAATGTGCTAATGATGGATACATGTCATTATACATTTTCCAGACCCACAGAACAGACTACACCAAGAGCAAACTATAATATAAATTATAGACTGAAAGATTATGTGTTAATGTAGTATCATCAATTGCAATAAATGTACCAGTCTAGTAGAGGATATTGATGACTAGAGAGGCTCTAGATATGTGGGAGATATCTCCAGTCCTCCCTCTCAATTTTTCTGTGAACCTAAAAATACTAAAAATAGACAGTCTTTTTTAAAAAGTGAAAATACCAGATTCACACTTTTAAACTTTGATAAATCATTGCCTACTCATGCCCAATAATCTTACATACAATTTTTACTTAGCAAAGCATATGCCTGATGTTAAAAGAATGTTAAATAAATGTTAAAAGAAAATCTCAAGGCCATATTTTGTACCTTCAAATCATACTGAAAATATCTGTTAAGAGCTACCACTAAATTTCTAAATTGTTGTGCTAAGCTTGACTTGAGCTGTTTGGCTTTTGTCTTTAAGAGGACGATTTTGAACTTTTCAATAATTTCGTTTGTGTCAAAACATATTTATAACACCACATAAAATTATAAATGCTTCTAACCAAACACAAGGCCAGAATGGCACAATTATTTTTAGATACTGATCACACTCACACAACTGATGATTCTTTAATCATAAGTTGTCTTTGAAAAGGTATGTAGACAAAAAAGGAATAAACAACTCAGCCAATTATTCTTGAAAGTAGTAAAAATTCAACAATGATGAATAAAGTCATGCTTGACAGATTATATCTTTGAAAAGCAGAATAAAGGCAAAAAATAAAAAGTAGAGGTATAACAAAGGTAAAAAGGACCAAAGGGACAGACGCAAGATAATTGGGTAAAATGAATTTTTTTTAAA